AGCTGAGCGCTGGGAGGCACAGTGCAGCTCACAGTGCGACAGGCTCTTGTGGAGTTTCACCAGGCTCAGAGCAGCTGATAACTCAGCAATCACTGGCTTCCTGCTCCTGTAAGGGTGTCACATAGACAAGCTCACGTTCGGAATGGAACTCCAGAGGAATCTGCACCATAACTGCCCCCAAATCCTCATATAACTGAGGGGCAGTGCTGGGAGACAGCAGGGGAGGGTGGCTGCATTAGTCATGTTTGTGTTGCTGTGTTCAAAATACTGGCAACAACAAAGGGAGGAATTATTTTGGCTTATGGTTGCAGAGGGTTCAGTCCATGAGGTAGAGGAGTTAGTCACCTCATGGTGGACAGAAAGTAGGGTGGGGGGGAAGAGCCAAGAAGAAGATTCCCCTCCCCCCAGGACTTTCCCTGGGGACCTACTTCCTCTAGCTAGGCTGTACCTCCTAAAGTACTGTAAAGTAAGGTTGAAGAAGGCAAGTCTCTAGTGCCCTCAGCTAGGGCTGATCCTGACTTCAGCCTTTTGGAGGATACTTCATACCTAAACTTTTTTTTTTTGGTGGGTTGTGGGCTTGAACTCTGGGCCTGAGCACTGTCCTTCAGCTCTTCAGCTCAAGGCTAGTGCTCTACCACTTGAGCTACAGCACCACTTCCCGTTTTCTGGTGGTTTATTAAAGAAAAGAGTTTCACAGACTTTCCTGCCCTGGCTGGATTTGAACCAAGATCCTCAGATCCCAGCCTCCTGAGTAGCTAGGATTACAGGAATGAGCTACCGGTGTCCAGCTATAATGACTTTTTTTTAATGTGGTACCAGGGCTTCAAGCATGCTAGGCAAACACTCTACCACTAAGCCACATTCCCAGCCCTCTCAATCAAGATTTTGGATGTACTAGTAAATCCCAATAAGAAATGTATGTGCATGTTTAACTATATATAGGACGTAGATCTACCTACTATAAACATGGACACAGATACAAAGAAAATAAAGAGATGAGAATCTTTCTCTTTATATACATAGTGAGTCAAAGATGGGAGAACTATGTAAAAAAAAGTAGAAACTCGAGCATTTTTAAGGGGGAATCCGGGAATCAGTGAGACACTTTAGTTCACATGGCCGGGTCTTTGGCTTGCTGATCGAACCGTGTGGTGTGCAAAAGCACCAGGGAGCAGATGTTCTGTACGACTTACCCTGGTGGGGGCTGAATCTGAGAAGGATCTTTTAAACCTGACATTGATAATAATATCAATTTATGTAGGAAAGAGTCTAAAGGCATGATGGCTAAAGGAATTGGGAGTTCAGAGTCTGGACAAGGGCAGACAGAAAAGAAGGTAGAGATGGAGCGCAAAAAGGCAATGGACATGTGAAAAGAGAGCTGGATTTTCACTAAAAAGTAGAAGAAATATTAGACATAATGGTCACACCCATCCCTACACATCCAGCTTCATCCTGGGTCTCCATCCATTCCACCCTTGCCCCCGCACCTCCCCCGTGACTTTGATCATGTGGACGATTCGGTTGTCATCTCTCTCCCACACAGCATCTTCAACCAAGACTTCTCTAAGTTTCAGATTTACCCACTGGGCTCTCATGTTCACCAAGCTCACCTCGAAGGGATCTCAGCCACATCCCCGGCCCGGGGCTCAGTTGGGAAGGCTTTCAGCTCATGAGTCCCACCAGTGACCACCATGGCAGGAAAGTAAGGAAGGACGTGGAGGCATCATTTACAACTGAGCTCCAGAACAGTAATTACAGATTCCATTGCCTGTCCTCTGCTCCTATATGAAGGAGTTCCAGCTCAGTTAATCATTAGAATAAGAAGAAAATGCACATTTTAGGCTAGGTGCCAGTGGCTCACGCCTGTAATCCTAGCTACCCAGGAGGCTGAGATCTGAGGATAGTGGTTCGAAGCCAGCCCGGGCAGGAAAGCCCATGAGACTCTTCTCTCCAAGAAACTACTCAGGAAAAGCTAAAATGGCTCAAGTGGTAGAGTTCTAGCCTTGAGCAATAGCAGCTCAGGGACAGTGCCCAGGCCCAGAGTTCAAGCCCCAGGGCTGGCAAAAAAAAAAAGCACATTTTGAAAAAAATGCACATTTCTAGCCATTGCATCAAACTTCACGAGTCAGAATCCCACTAATTTTCTCCTTTTTTTTTACTGTGGTGAAATATACATAACCCTAAATTCACTATTTTAGCCATCTTAAGTAAACAGTTCAGTGGTTTTAAATACGTACAAAATGTTGTACAAAGATCAGCTCTGTCTACCTCTTCATCTTGGACAAGAGGATCTTTTTTTCTTTATTTGTGTGCCAGTGCTTGAACTCAGGGCTTGAGAGCTGTCCCTTAGCTTTTTCACTCAAGGATGACATTCTACCAAAGCCTCACCTCTACATCCAGTTTTCTTTTTTTGGTGTTTAACTGAAGAGTCGCTCAGATTTGTCTGCCTGGGTTGGTTCTGAATCTGGATCCTTAAATTGCAGCCTCCTGAGTAGCTAGAACAACAGGCATGAATCATCAGCACTCAGCTCAATTTTTTTTTTTTCCAATGTGGAAGCTCAGGAGCTAAGAATGAGCCAGGCATCTGGACTGCAGCTGAGAAATGCTAACATCATGTTGGCTTTCACCAGTCTCAATGCTGCCCTTTAGTTTGTACATGCCCTAAAGTTCATGTCTACACTTTGGTTCTGACCAGAATCTGAAATGTGGAGCAACTCTGATAGCTTTTCAAATTGAACAATAAAATATGGTCAAGCTCAGCTCCCTAAAGTGGGTGGGTAAGATGTAGGTGACTGCAAATGGTAAGTCACTGGCAAGATATTTTTAAGATTTGCATAGGAGTGCAATTGGACATGCATGTATTAGAATGTACCATCCCGCTGGGAAGGTGGCTCAGTGGTAAAGCGCTTGCCTTGCATGCATGAGGCCCTGGGTTCGATTCCTCAGCACCACATAAGCAAAATGAAAAAAGCCGGAAGTGGCGCTGTGGCTCAAGTGGTAGAGTGCTAGCCTCGAGCTGAAGAGCTGAGGGACAGTGCCCAGGCCCAGAGTTCAGGCCTCACGACCAGACCAAAACAAAACAAAACAAAACAAAATCAAAATGTCATACTTAAAAAAAATTTTTATTACTAAAGACTTGTACAAAGGGGTTGCAATTCCATAAGTCACATAATGAGTACAATGTTTAGGCCTTGCATTCTTGCTTGGCTTTTTTTTTAAGGCTGGCGCTTTACCACTTGAGCCACACCTTCACTTCCTACTTTTTGCTGGTTAATTGAAAATAGGAAACTCAGAATTTTCTGCTCAGGCTGGTTTTGAACTGCTGTTCTCAGCTCTCAGCCACCTGAGTAGCTAGATTACAGGTGTGAGCCACCAACACCCCACTAAAAAGCGTTTTAATATTGTAGCATAATTAAAAAAAATATTTTTATCTGAAAACAAAAGGATGTTTTCCCTAGTCTCTGGATTCAGCTTAATCATGTTATGATTTATTTCGAATTTAAGTGGACTGAAATTAAAAGAGTTATGGGTGTATGTTTATGTGTCCTGGGATAATAGCTCAAATGGTAGAGCATTTGACTAGCATGTGTAGGGCCCTGGGTTCAGTCTTTTAAAAAAAAACAAAAACAGTGGCTGGGAATGTGGCTCAGTGGTAGAGCGCTTGCCTTGCATGCCTGAGGACCTGGGTTCAATTCCTCAGCACCACATAAGCAAAATGAAAAAAGCCGGAAGTGGCACCATGGCTCAAGTGGTAGAGTGCTAGCCTTGAGCTGAAAAGCTGAGGGACAGCGCCCAGCGCCCAGGCCCAGAGTTCAGGCCCCACGACCAGACCCCCCCCAAAAAAAAATAGAGAGAGAGAGAGAATGTACCCATCCTTTCCTGCTTCAGCTGATCCGCGGGGACCTATACTGTTCCTCTTTCCAACTTCCATATTGACAGAGTGTGTGGCAGGAGGTCCAGCCAGTCTCTAAGTGAAAACCCTGGGTGTTGGGGGGAGGGGATGGATAACCCTGTTTTAGGTAATCAAGATCCACACGCCCAAAGCCGAACTACAACACATACATCACTCAACACTATTGCAAATATAGCATGTACCATTTCATGTCAGAAATAAAACCTTATTTTTATTTAATTCAATTTATACTTACACTAGTACACAAAGGCAAAGATAATCAGTGTGGGTTCTCTACCACTTGAATCATACCCCTGGGTCTTTTTTTGGTTTGGTTATCTTTCAGATATGGAAAAATACATTTCTTTTTCTTTGTTGGTTATGGGGCTTGAACCGAGGGCCTGGGTGCTGGCCCTGGGCTCTTTTTACTCAAGGCTAGTACTCTACCTCTTTGACCTACGGCACCATTTCCAGTTTTCTGGTGATTAATTAGAGAAAGAATCTCATGGACTTTCCTTCCTGGGCTGGCTTTGAACTGTGATCCTCAGATCTCAGCCTCCTGAGTAGCTAGGATTACAAACATGAGCTCTACTACTTTGAACTACAGCTTCACTTCCAGTTTTTAGGTAATTAAACAGAGATTAAGAATCTCTGGGCTGGCTTTGAACCACTATCTTCAGATCTCAGCCTCTTGAGTAGCTACAATTAGAGGTACGAGCCACCAGCGCCCAGCAAAAATGTCTTATTTCACAAAAGAAAAATGCTTTTGCCTGAAACTAGCCTTGGACCACAATCTCCTTTAACCTACAACTGAGCTATATCTCTAAACCAAGGTTTTTGATTTTTAAATGCCAAGCAGAAAAATTATTTCACATTATTATCCAAGATTCAAAGGAATGAAACATACAGAAGGAGAAAAAAAGCAGTAGAAAATTAAAAATCTTGTTCATTTCAGTATTCTCTTTTTGAAAACATCAACATTTGAGTGTAAGATAAAATTATACAATTAAACACTTTTAAAACCTAGGTGGTATATATTTTTTTGCCAGGGTATCAGATACTAATTTGTATGGATTATCTTGTTAAAATAACAAAAATCTTCTGCAAATCAGCACAATACTTCATTTATTTATCATATAATTTTGGCAAACAGCACAAAATTCCAGCAACATTTTAAACATGTAAAAAAGTCAAATGTTAAACAGTATTATTTTGTTTTAAAACATCATTAGAAATAATGAATACACATTTAAGATTTTGCAAAGCTAGCAAAATGAGAATGCTTGGCTTCCCAACATTTATCACAAACACACACATAAAAAAGCAATATAATTTATCTTTACAAAAAGATCACAGCCAAGCAACAGACAAGAAGGACACCCATGATGAAGGTGCCAGCATGAGTGTTCACCCCACGCAGCTTATACTCGGGGATGCTACATCTTGTACCCTGAAACGCCATGGGCCCTGGAACACCACGTGCGGAGCCACGCACAGGAAACTAAGGCTCATGACTAAGGTTAGGGATTATCTGAGGGTAAGAATACTCACTGAAACTTCCTCGATCGCAACCTCTGGGTCACAGCAATGCATTCCAGTTTGTATCTGAGAAGTTGAGACTTCTTTGTTGGCAGTATAAAATTTCTGAGCAGTATCAAAATACTGGTAAAACATAAACTAAAGGCATTTTCTATACTTGCAGGTGTTAAAGGGGTTTTGATGAATGTGATGAAAAATATTTGATTTCACAATAAATTTCTGCTGAGCTTTGTCAAACCAAATAGCTCAACTATAAGGCAAGAGGAAAAAAAAAGTCACCCTCTGAAAGAGGTAGAGGGTGTTCCCTAGTGACAAGTGAATGGAATGGCCGGGAGCTCCAGGCATGGACACAGCTGAAACAGCGGGCGATGAGCAGAACATGGAGAGACTCATTAGTGCCTTGACATCCAGTCAGTGCTTAAGAAGCTGACAAACTAGCTGTTGGTATATATTACTAAATTAACTTTTTGGAATCAGCACCAGTCCCCAAAACCTCAAATTATAATGTTTTATCTTCATTAAAATACATCCATTGTGCTATATGAACACAACCATAATCAGTTAAAGAAGCTGAATTTATTCAACTTATATATTCTTATGTATACCAGATAGCAACTTAAATTTCTTTAATTTATTTGTGCTTCTGTTTTGGGGCACTTTGATTGAAGAGAAATTCATTTCACAGGATTACATCTTGCTAAAGCATTCCTTAGCATTGGTCCAAACTTGAATTCCCTAAAAACAAAAGCAACTTTAAAATGTGACTCTTCCTGTATGACAGACTTATAGCCAGCAATATACAGAATGAGAAAATCCTGAAAGCATTTCCTTGATAGTCATGAAGGGAACAAAGGTGGCCTTTCTTACCAGTCTCATTCAATATAATGCTCAAAATCTTATTCAAAGCAGCAGGGCAAGAGAAAGAAACAAAAAAGGAAGAAGTTAATTATCCCTATTTGCAGATGATAGGATCCTATGCTTTAAAGACTCCTAAAGATTCTTAACAGAAACTCTTAAATTTGATAGATGTCTGGAGCAAAGTAGGATACAAAAATCAATGTAGATAAGGGGAAACAAAGGAGGAAGCATCAATGCTTGACAAGAAATATACTTATTACCTTGCTCATGTAATTGTAACCCCTCTGTATGGTATTTTCACAATTAAAAAAAATCAATAGAAAAATCAGTACCATTTCTATATACTAATATAATTCTTGAAGGATTCTGAAAACCCAAATATTTCACTTAGAGGTGTTATTGCACTGGGTAAATGTGTTATTCTAATAATAATAACAACAATAATAAAGTAACTAAAGAATTGGTTAGTATATTTTAAAAGCTTCAGGCTACTTGGTTCAATAAATTAGACAACTTACCAACTTAAGTTGACCAAAATAATCACTGAGAAGTGCTATTTACTTTTAACATGATTTGTTATTTATGATTTTTTTTACTACTGCACTTTAGTAATCTAATTATATTCAAGTAACATTTGAATTATATTCAATGAGCACTTAACACTGTAACAAAGCCTGATGCATTTTAACACACAAGTAAAATATAAGCACTCATTTTTTCAAGGAAAAAGCTTGTGTTAATTTTGACTTCTGGTAACTTCCTGAAGAAAAGAAACGTGTCAGGCATTGGGTATAATGGTAGATGCCTGTAATCCACAACCCATGAGAGTAGATGCAGGAAGACTGAGCATTCAAGACCAGACTAGGCTACACAGCAAGACTGTTTTAAGAAAAAAAAAAAAAGGGCTGGGAAGGTGGCTCAGTGGTAGAGCACTTGCCTTGCATGCATGAGGCCCTGGGTTCGATTCCTCAGCACCACATAAAACAAAAAGAAAAAAGCCAGAGGTGGCGCTGTGGCTCAAGTGGTAGAGCGCTTAGCCTTGAGCTGAAGAGCTGAGGGACAGCGCCCAGGCCCAGAGTTCAGGCCCCACGACCGGACCCAAAAAAAATAAAAGAAAAAGAAAAAAAAAATGGGAGTTGGGATATAGTAGAGTGTTTGCCTGGTATGAACAAATTAGGTTTAAAAGTTTTTTAAAAAGACCCTGTTTAACTTCATAGTAGTGTTCTTAGAAAACAAAAACATGCTGATTAAGCCTTGTTTACTACAGTTGTCTTAGGAGAGGCATTATAAATGGAGCATGCAAATGCGGGACTTTAGTGGCAATAAGTAACTCATATTTTGATTTCTTCTGTCCAAATGCAGTGGTACACACCTAAGAAAATGAGGAGATATCCTAAGCAAAAAGTTAGCATAACTTAATCTCAACAAACAAACTAGACATGGTTGTGGATGCTTATAATCCCAGCTACACCAGAGGCACAGGTAGGAGGATCAAGGTCTAAGACTGGCTTGAACAAAAAGTGTGATATCCTATCTGAAAAACAGCTTGAGTAAAATGGACTGGGGGAATGGAAGAAGTGGTAAGGTACCTGCCTAGTGAGCATAAGGCTTTGAGTTCAAATTCCAGTACCACCAAAACAGCAATCAAACAAAACAAAAAACTAAAACTAAAAACAAATTTAAATCAAATTTAAACAAATTTAAAACAAATTTAAATCAAAATACAGCTTTCAATGATAGAGCTATAGCTCCACTGGAACCCAAGCCTACCTTTTTGCACATACTGATCTGCATAATGGCATAGCTTATGAGGGCCTCTTTCAAGTCTCGGTTCTTTTGTTCTTTGAAGCGTTCAATATCAGCCCATGCATTTTTCACAAATTCTCTGAAATAAAAGGTAGAGTCATTATTATTGTTATTTAAATTAAACATACTATATATTATAAATTCTATAACCAGTTCTGAGATTCTGAGGGGTTTTTTTTAGTTTATGTTTTTTTGGGCTGGTACCAGGGTCTTATGTTTATTCAGCTGGTTTGTTTGGCTGGTGCTCTAGCACTTGAGCCACACCTCTATCCTACCTTTTGGTGGTTATTTTTGGAGATGGAGTTTCCTGGGCTTTTCTGTCTGGGGTGGTTTTTGTGCTGAGATCCTCAGGTCTCAGCTCTGTGAATAGCTAGGATTACAGGTGTGACCCACGCTCCCCCAGCTCTTGAGTTGATTTTTGATTGTCTATATAGAAAACACTATTCCTTATATAAGATGGTTCTATTTTTCCATTTCCTAAAACTTACAGGTAAGAGAAAAGAGGGGAGATAAACCAATAAGATATATGGGCCTGCATTTTACAATTTTCTTCTACATATTGATAATGTGCATCTCTGCCTCAAGGACTCTGCCTCCAAATTACTCAGGTAATTACCACAGGTGCAGATGGCTCCATGCGGCAGCCCGCAGCTTCACACGTGCTGCGAGGAAGTGGCTTCCCACGGCCACTGGAAAAATACACTCACCACACATTCAGCAGTTATGTGGCGAGAGGTAACTAGGGTTTTAAAACATTCTGCCTGGTGGATGCAGTGGCATGCATAGCAGAGCGGTGGCAGCTACTTGCAACACTGAGGCATGAGGACTGCTGGAGCCCAAGAGTTCAGAGCAGCTGAGCAACACTGCTCATGTCTCCATAAGAGAAAACATTGGATAGGTGCTTTTCTTTTTAATTACATTCACAAAAAATTTACTTTGACCAATTGGAAGGCAGCAGTTCAAAAAGTTAACCAAACCACCTTAACAGCAATGACATAGTTTTGGTGTGGTGGGTGTCCACTCAGTGAGAAAAGCTCTGTGAGCACTGGATTTCCAGGTGCAGTATGGGGAGACAAAGATGAGGACTACCAGCTCATCCCCTACCACGGCCAGTCCTGTACAACAGCAGCAACTCACTGTAAGTCTGCAGGCTAGAGTGTCATGGAGGGAGTGCTGGGACAGCCTAGGGCATGGGGAGGGGGTGTACCGCAGTGAGGGAACACCTGAGCTGGGGACTGACAAATGACCCGGCTTGTGTAAGATGGGGAAAAGAAAGGGTAGAGAATGTGCAAAGAAACAGTATCAGAAACCTTAAATGCTGGGGGGATGGGGGGGGAGCAGGGAGGATTGGGTGGGGGGGCAGGGTGAGGAAGGGAAGGGAAGGGATGGGAAGGGGAAACAAAGGAGGAGGCTACAATGCTTGATAAGAAATGTACTCATTATCCTGCCCATGTAATTGTAACCCCTCTGTACAGTATTTTCACAATAAATAAATAAATAAAAAAAGAAACCTTAAATGCCATCTTGTCTTCCTCTTTCCCCACATGAACAGAGCTACTTCTATAATCTGATCTTTGTTAAAAACACTGCATTTTAGAGGAATAAAACATATCCTCAGTTTATTCCTGAGGATGGTCTTAGGAAGCTGGGAAATTAATTTTTAAAGAATGCATGTTACCAGGCTGGGTGCTAGTGGCTCATGCCTGTAGTCCTAGCTACTCAGGAGGCTGAGATCTGAGGATCATAGTTTGAAGCCAGCCTGGTCAGGAAGTCTATGAGATCTTAACACCAACAAACTACTCAGAAAAAGCCTGAAATGGCACCATGGCTCAAGTGGTAGAGCACTAGCCTTGAGCACAGAAAGGCTCAGGGACAGAGCCTAGGCACTGAGTTCAAGCCCCAGGACCAGCAAAAGAAGAAAACAAATAAATAAAAAAGAAAAAAATATATATATACATATCATCTATTACAGTCTTTTTTTGGGGGGAGGGGGGATCATGGAGTTTGAACTTAAAGAGCATGGCTGCTGTTCCTCAGTTCTTTTGCTCAAGACTAGTGCTCTACAATTTTGAGCCACAGTTCTACTTCTGATTTTCTAATTGTTAACTGGAGATAGCGTCTCATGGTCTTTCCTGCCATGGCTGGCTTTGAATCTCAATCTCAATCCTTAGATTCTCAGGCATGAGCCACCAGTGCCTAGCAATGTGGTTTACCTTTGTTCACTATCTAAGCATTTTTACCTGCCTTCCAGATTTTTAGACTTCAGCTGCTGTTCTCCTTCATTTATTTGTTCCTCTAGCACCTTTATTCTGGCTTCTCTCTGTTCTGGAGTCTCTTGACCAAAGAGCTTGGTCGTCATTCCTTTTAGAGAGAATGTCCTCACAGTCTAAAAGGAAATAGAAATAGATGAATGGATAAACAAAATGTGAGTCATGTGTAAAGTGAAATATTCTTCCAGGCTTGATAGGATAACCCTGTACTTGGGAGGCAGATATCCGGGAAATTGTAGTTCATGGACAAGCCAAGCAAAAAGTTAGGGAGACCTCTGTCAATCAATAAACTAGGTATGTGGTGGTGGGTACCCATCACCAGAGCTATGTAAGAGAAGTTAAAGGGTTATAGTTCAGGCAAAAATATAATACATGGGGCTGGAAAGGTGGCTCAGTGGTAGAGCGCTTACCTTGCATGCATGAGGCCCTGGGTTCGATTCCTCAGCACCACATAAGCAAAAAGAAAAAAGCCAGAAGTAGCGCTGTGGCTCAAGTGGTAGAGTGCTAGCCTTGAGCTGAAGAGCTGAGGGACAGCTCCCAGGCCCATAGTTCAGGCCCCACGACCAGACCCCCCCCAAAAAAATAAATAAATAAAATACATCATCTAGAAAATAATACAAAAGGGCTGGGGGTATGGCTCAAGTGGTACAGTCTCTGCCTAGCAAGTGTGAGGTCCTAAGTTCAAACCATTACAAAAAACAAAAAGCAAAATACAACAGCAAATTGTGACATGTCACAATGTTAAACCTTTAGGATATTATGTTAAATAAAACAAGCTGATCACAAAGATAAAATACCATGAGAGTCCACTTAAATGAGATTCACAGAGTATAGTCAAAATCACAGAAATAAAGTAGAATGAAACACCTGTTTTACATTGCCAGTGGTTCACACTGTCATCCTAGGTATTTAGGATGAGGATCTCAGTTGGAGCTAGCCTAAACAGAAAAGTACAGAAAATCTTACCTCCTACTACTAGCTAAATGCCAGACTGGAGGCATGGCTTAGGTGGTAGAGTACCAGCAAGAGTAAAAAAGGTGAGAAAAATTGCAAGTCTCTGAGTTCAAGCCCAAGTATCAGAACAAAACAAACAAAAGGAAGTAAGTAGAATGGTTGTTTCCAGGAACTAATGATACAAGATGGGTAGCTGTTTATCAGGAAGTTTCCATTCTGCAAAGTGAAAAGAGTTCTAGAGACCGGCTGCACAACAATCCTTATAGGAAGACTGAAAACACCAACCATTCCCCTTGTCAAGACAGAAGAACCATCAGCTTTACTACCAGGATACTCCTAATATGATTTCTAATACTGGAATGACACAGAATAATCAAAAAAAGTAAAAAAATCTAAGTGCCATTTTTTTTTGGCTCTACTGGGCCTGTACTTGCTAGTCAAGGGCTCTATTACTTTAATCACCCAGCCCTTTAATGCTTTTTTTTCTTCCAGTAAAGTCGCAAGTTTTGCCTGGGGTCACCCACAATCCTCCCACCTACAACTTTCAGCATAGCTGAGCTCATGGGTGCACACCACCATGCCTGACTCTTGGGTAATGTCCACGGGGCTTCTCCTGAGTTCAGGAATAAGCGGAAGTCTCATTCCATGCATGGCTCATGCTCACAGGTCTTTCCTCACATGTATCTATAACTTCTCACAGTAGCTGTGGCACTGTGTATATGGACACATGGTGATATCGTCGTTAATGAGATGTACATGAGACAGCATGGATGTGAATGTGCTTATTAATTAATATGCCACCAATCTACAGTGCCACTGGCACTGCTTTACTATCTGCACAATGCATCTCTCATATGTCAATTAATGTGCTCCAACAAAGGAGAAGGAGTGAAGAGTTGATTATGACCTGGGTCTACCAGACAGGACATTTTCTTCCCAAGTTCTCAATGTAAGCATCGAAGTCTAAAGTACGCAGCTCCTTTGTAGGAGGGATTCTGAGAAAAGCTCTTCAAAAGAAACTAAAGCTAGGCACCAGTGGCTCACACCTATAATACTAGCTACTAAGGAGGCTGAGATCTAAGGATCATGGTTCAAAGCCAGCCCATGCAGAAAAGTCCATGAGACTCTTATCTACAATAAACCACCAGAAAACTAGAAGTAATGCTGTGGCTCAAGCGGTAGTGTGCTCGCCTTGTGCTGAAGAGCTCAGGGACAGCACCCAGTCCTAGAATTCAAGCCCACGACCAACAAAAAAAAGAAAAAGAAAAAAAAGAAAGAAACTAAAACTTCCTTACGACACCTTGCTAAATGACGCCAGGCAAAGCTGGAAGTGTGCCCAACTGGTAGAATGGTTGCCTAGCAAGACTCTGTGAGGCCAAGTGCAAGCACCAGTATCAGCAAAGAAAGAGAAAGGGGATAAAAATTTTTTTAAAAGACCCAAAGAATTGTAAAGTCAGTCACAACTTCTTCTCTTTAAAGAGGCACAGGCAGGCTGCCTGGCTGGACTGAGCAGAGACCTACAGAAGACTACTCACCCCAGTGGCCAGCTCCTCACACTGCTGCTTCTTTGATGCCAGGTCCTGGGCCGCCATCTCCAAGTCATACTGCATAAGCTCATGCTTCCTGCATACAGCCCTGGACACAAAGTGCTGCCATTACACTTTCCCAGCCTCCTCCCATGTGGGGGAGCGTTCAGAGGAGGCAGTCACCCGTCTCTCTAGGGTCAGAACTCTGTGTTCAGAACTGCCAAGTTGGAAATGTAGTAGCCAAATATAAAAAAGAATTAAACCTAGCAAGACTTCATATAAACGAAGAGATGCTTCTGCATTCGTTTTTCAATAAACATTATCCCATTATTATAAACCCATTATCATGTAAATTTTAAAAAAAAATTTAATGCAACATACGAACTTAGGCTATCTTCAGTTGTAAAACAACTATCTTAAGTTGTCTTACTTTAAAAAACAAAACAAAACTTCCTGTCCGTGTGTATGTACCACTAAGCCCAGCTTTTTTGTTGAAATGTGGTCTTTCTAACTTTTGTCCAGGCTGGCCTTGAACATCTCTCAATGTGATCCTCCTGATCTCTGCCCGCAAGTAGCTGGCATTCTAGTGTGAGCTAATGCACCTATGTTTATTATTTTTAAATAATATTTATTTATGGTATAGAAATTACTCTAATGCACAAAATAAGGTTTTAAGAACCCCTTCTTTTCTCTAGTCTCACTCTCTAGACACAACCCATGTTACCAGATCCTTCCTGAATTTAGCAAGATACTTATAAATACACACAACCAGCTAACCACATGGTTCTACATCTATACTGGACATTTCTTCACGCTAGTACACATTAATTATTTGTGTTATTTTTAGGAGTTGCACAGAATTCCACTGCCCATAATGTTCTTTGGCATGGTGACTTGAATATATCTTGGTGAAACTTACTATTCTCAAAGTGCCACAAGGAAAAAGGCTGATATTGTTCACAAATTACAGCTAGCGTAACATCACTGTTACTCTAACAGAATTCCTAGACTGTTTTTAAAAGAAGTGATTTTTTTTAAAAAAGCCACCAATACTAGGAAAAGAACCCTTATCTCCAAACGGAATAGGAAAAACACAGTAACCTTTTCTTATTGAATGAGGGTTATCTAGCAGAGAATTCTGTTTGGGTCTACAGGAGATACACTAAACAGAAAAAATCCTCGATGTTAACAATAAGTTTTACAACCGAGCAGATAAGACACACACACATGAGAAAAATACATAACAAAAATAGTAATATGGAACCTTGTGACAGAGACTGCCATATCTGTATCTTGTTTCTAAACTTCACACTGGAATAAAGTAGAAAGAAAATAGAGCTGGGCACTGGTGGCTCACGCATATAATTACTAGCTACTCAGGAGGCTGAGATCTGAGGATCACGGTTCAAAGCCAGCCCAGGCAGGAAAATCTATGAAACTTTTATCTCCAATTAACCACCAGAAAACCGGAAGTGGCCCTGTGGCTCAAGTGGTAGAGTGCCTAGCTTGACATGAAGAGCTTCAGGGACAGCACTCAGGCCCAGAGTTCAAGCCCCACAACTGACAAAAAAAAAAAAGAAAGAAAATACAGACAGACCTGATGCCTGCTCTGGTAGTTTTTACAATATGAGACAGACAGACCTGATGCCTGCTCTGGTAGTTTTTACAATACGAGGTTTCAAAAGCAGACCCCCTTTTACATTTTTATGCCTAGCACTCCACTACAAAGAGCCCCAAACTGAGAGCTCATTCAGGGTTTAAAGTACCAGTTTAAAAGTATCTTATTGATTATAGTTTAATGGAAGCTTATAGAATGGGAAGGAATCAGCTGGGGTCACACTTGGAACTTAATTAGTACTCACCTCAGTGCTTCTGCATAGAAAAGATACTCCTTTAACTGATCTGCATAATGTTCTTCATCTTCTAAAATATCATCAATAGAAGATGCATACCTATTCAAAAAAATACTGCATAAAATTTTGTGATAAAAATTAACATTCTAAAGAAATGCTTAGTATGTACAGTTAGAATTGACATTTAAAAACAAAACATATCGACAATTTGTAATTATCACAATGATTTTTATTAACTTGAAGAGTCTTACATACTTTCCTGCTTGGTTTGGCTTTGAACCACAATCCTCAGATCTCAGCTAGGATTACAGACATGAGCCGCCAACATCTGAATCAAATTTATATATATATATAATTTTTGTGCCAGTAATGGGACTTGAACTCAGGATCTGGGCACTGTCCCTTAGCTTTTTCACTCAAGGCTGGCATTCTATCACTTGAGTCACAGCGCCACTTCTAACTTTTTGGTGGTTAAGTGGAGATAAAAGTCTCATGTGTACTCATTATCTTGCCCATGTAATTGTAACCCCTCTGTATAGTATGTTCACAAAAAATTAAAATTTAAATAAAAAAAAAGTCTCATGGGGGCTGGGAATGTGGCTTAGCAGTAGAGTGCTTGCCTAGCATGAATGAGGGCCTGGGTTCAAATCTTTAGTACCACATAAACAGAAAAGCCAGAAGTGGCACTGTGGCTCAAGTGGTAAAATGCTTGCCTTGAGCAAAAGAAGCTCAGGGACAGTGCTCAGGCCCTGAGTTCAAGCCCCAGGATTGGGGGGGAAAAAAAGTCTCATGGACATATTTGCCTGGGCTAACTTCTTCAAAACATGATCCTCAGATCTCAGCCTCCTGATTGAGGATCCTGACAGCCATGAGCCACTAGCGTCTAGCTTATTTAGGTTTTAATTCTTTCTCAGCAATGTTTTCATATAGTTTTCAGCAAAAGTATAAAGTTTTCACTGTAAAGGTCTGCATCATTTTTTTTCATTAAATTAAATCCCTAAGCATCATGTTCTTTTGTCAGTTGTGGAGCTTGAACTCAAGGCCTGGGCACTGTCCCTGAGCTTTTTCACTCAAGGCTAATACTCTACCACTGAGCCACAGCTCCACTTCTGGTTTTCTGGTGGTAGATAAGGGTCTCATGAACTTTTTCCTGCCCGGGCTGCCTTTGAATCACAATCCTCAAATCTCAGCTTCCTGAGGAGCTAGGATTACAGGCATGCACCACTGTTGCCTGGCCTAAGTATCATGTTTTGATGTTACTGGAAATAGTATTGTTTAAATTTTTTATTTTCCAAATATTGTTGTGGGTATGTAAAAATAGCTTATATTTATTTTATTTTAAGCTGATATTTTGAATACTCATTAAATTCAGTTGTAAGTTCTATTAGATCTTTTGATTGATTCACAGCCAATAACTTTATTTATTGAACACTAAGATTTTATCTTTTTTCTATTAACATATGAATTAAAGTAACTGCTTTGCTAAGACAAACTTTGGTCAAATCTGTACACACAAAGCAAAATACACATGCAGGTAAATGTGATAAAGCAGAATAGACATGTGTCCCTAGAGCCCCCATTGATCCTCCCCTCAGGCCTTCCTGAAGCTTCTAGGTACTTACACGTCCATATGGTGGCCAGCACTCTGCAACCCATCACCCATTTCTTTCTCTATGGCACTCCATTCACTAGGAAGAGAAGACAACATCAAAGCATCAGGGACTAGAGACAAGGAATATTATTAAATGGAATCTTTTTTTTTTTTTTTTTGGTCGGTCATGGGGCTTGACTTTCTGGGCATGGGCGCTGTCCCTCAGCTCTTCAGCTCAAGGCCAGTGTTCTACCACTTGAGCCACAGCGCCACTTCCAGTTTTCCGAGTGGTTTATTGGGCTTTCCTGCCCAGGCTGGCTTTGAACCATGATCCTCAGACTCCTGAGTAGCTAGGATTAAAGGCGTGAGCCACCAGCACCCGGCCAAGGGAATCTTTTAACAAGATTCTTTTCTTGCCAGCCTTTCAATGTTACCTAATAGCCATGCTTAGATTTATGTTCTGAGTCAAATTGGCTTATTTCCCTAAGTGGAAAAACTACATGCAAATGTAAGTTTCCAAAGTGGCTACTTGTTAAGTGCAAGGTAAGTAAACTTTCCTATGATGCTCATTTAAAGCAATGTGAGCCAGGCACTGGTAATACTCAGGAGGCTGAGATCTGAGGATCACGGTTCAAAGCCAGCCCATACAGGAAAGTCTGTGAGATTCCTATCTCCAATTAACCACCAGAAAACTGGAAGTTGCACTGTGGATCAAGTGGTAGAGCATTTGCTTTGAGCTGAAGAGTTCAGAGATAGTGCCCAGGCCCAGAGTTCAAGCCCACGACAAGCAAAAAAAAAAAAAAAAGCAATTCTGAAGCTTCTGACAAATCCAGACAGTAGTGCTACTCTGCATTCACTTAATCAAAATCTGTGAGAGTTCTCATGAATATATCTGGATTGCAACTCATAAAAAAAGATGATAGTACAGAACCATCAGGTATGCAGTAAAACCTTAGTAACAGTTTACATGTTGCAGGAGAAAGTCTATTGGAAGCATAGCACATTTTATTGTCATTTTGCTAAAACAGGTCTTGTGAAAAAATATACATGGAAATTATGTTACTATAGTAAACTAGGGGAGGGAGGATCTGAAATCCCAAATACAGACTAAACACTCCTCATCTAAAATCTGAAATATGAAAGTTTTTTCCTTTCTTTTTGTGGTACTGGGATTTTAACTCAGAACTTTGCACTTACGAGGCAGGTGCTCTGGTTATATGCTTTTTTTTTTTTTCTTTCAGTTGTGGGGCTTGAACTTTGGGTCTCGGCACTGTCCCTCAGCTCTTCAGCTCAAGGCTAATGCTCTACCACTTGAGCCACAGTACCACTTCCAGTTTTCTGAGTGGTTTATTAGAGGTAAGAGTCTCATGGACTTTCCTGCCTGGGCTGGCTTTGAACCACAATTCTCAGATCTCAGCCTCCTGAATAGCTAGGATTACATGCGTGAGCCATCGGCACTGGCTGACATGGGTATTTTTTAATGCTTAATGAATAAACACTTTAATCTATCAGCTTCTGCCAGTTCTCATTAGCTGCAAACGCATGGTTGCTGGCACTCAAAACCTGTTCCTCTGTGTCAGACACAGGCAGCATACTGGTAATCTTAGCTACCTAGGAGACCCAGGAGGTTGAGATCTGAGGACCGCAGTTCAAAGCCAGTCTGGGTAGAGACTCTTATTCCCAACTAACCAACAAAAAGCTGAAAGTGGAGATGTTGTTCAACTGGTAGATTGTCAGTCTTGAGTAAAAAAGCCAAGGAGGGGCACAAGGCCCTGAGTTTTAGACCTAGTACTGGTACCAAACAAACACTTTTCTTCTCCTCTTTTCTAAGTCTTTTGCAGAGTGAGTCCAGCAATGTATTTGGTCCATTTCTGGATTGATACAGGTGAGAGTTTCTAGCTGAGCCTGACACTACAGAAAATAGGGGCAACTCCCATAAGTGTCTCTGAGGAATGACATTTCAGTCTATGCTATGTAGACAGGAGAGGAGACTGCAAGAAGCCTAGCAAACTCCTCTAGCAGCAGAGTATTTGGCAGCATGCACAAGGCTCTGGGTTCAATTCCCAGCACTATAACACACAACAACAACAAAAAAAAGAAAAGAAAGAACAACAACAACAAAAAAAGCAGGGCTGGAGGTGGCTTAGTGGTAGAGTGCTTGCCTTGCATGCATAAGGCCCTGGGTTTGATTCTTCAGCACCACATAAGCAGAAAAAGCCGGAAGTGGCGCTGTGGCTCAAGTGGTAGAGCGCTCGCCTTGAGCTGAAGAGCTGAGGGACAGCGCCCAGGCCCAGAGTTCAGGCCCCACGACTGAGAGGGAAAAAAAAAAGCAGCAACATAACATAGTACAAAATCTTCCCTATGCATCTAATTTCTGCTCACTCATTCCTAACATCATTTATCTCCACTTTGACAATCTCAATTCTTTTCCACTCACAGCTTAGTTTTTTCCCCTTGGTCCAACCTCCAAAGCAGCAACAAGTCATTTTATGTTACTTGAATTCATTGAAAAAATTAAATTGAAGAACAAAGCTGATAAAAACACCTTCATAAAAGGAAGGCATTCGGGGCTGGGAAGGTGGCTCAGTGGTAGAGCACTTGCCTTGCATGCCAGAGGCCCTGGGTTCAATTCCTCAGCACCACATAGGCAAAAAGAAAAAAGCCGGAAGTGGTGCTGTGGCTCAAGTGGTAGAGCGTTAGCCTTGAGCTGAAGAGCTGAGGGACAGTGCCTAGGCCCAAAGTTCAGGCCCACGACCGGACCCCCCCCCCAAAAAAAAAAAGAAAAAAAAAAAAAGGAAGGCATTCAAAAATAACCAAAGGAGTTTATATAGAACAATATTCCCTTTTCTTTACTTAGTTCCAGTACTGGCAGCCAACCTAGAGCTTTACACATGCTGGGCAAGGGCCCTGCCCAGCCACACTTCTACCTGCCACACAAATCCTTTAATTATACCAAAGTTGGCCCAAAACTGAAATCTCATCCTGCAAGTGTCTTCATAAATTATGGAGTATAAGAAAAAAAATCACAATAGCTAAAAGATGGTCTTAGGCAGTCTGCCAAAGCAGTAAAGGGCAGTAAAATAGCTTTACTTCTATCTGCTCAATGTTGAATTTCTTCATTTGAGGATTTGTTTTTGTTTATGGTGGTCATGGGGTTTGAACTCAGGGACTGGGATTGTCCCTGAGCTTTCTCACTCAAGGCTAGTGCTTTACTACTTTGAGCCACAGCACCACTTCCAGTTTTCTGGTGGTTAATTGGAGGTAAGAGTCTCATGGAGTTTCCTGCCCTGGCTGGCTTTGAACGGTGATCGTCAGATCTCACCCTCCTGAGTAGCTAGGATTACAGGTGTGAGCCACCAAGCATGGCCTCATTTTTTTTTTTAAACCATAAAAGCAAAGCAGACAGAGGCTGGGAAGGTGGCTCAGTGGTTGAGTGCTTGCCTTGCATGCCTGAGGCCCTGAGTTCGATTCCTCAGCACCACATAAGCAAAAAGGAAAAAAAAGCCGAAAGTGGTGCTGTGGCTCAAGTGGTAGAGCGCTAGCCTTGAGCTGAAGAGCTGAGGGACAGCGCCCAGGCCCAGAGTTCAGGTCCCATGACCAGACCCCCAAAAAAAAATTTTAAAATAAATAAATAAATATTCTGTCTTTTAGACACATAAATTTTCATGATTAATATATAGTAAATATAATATGTAATATATGTTACATTAATATATTTATATGTATTGTATATGTAAATATATGACAATATATTATAAAATAAATAACAAAGATAACATATAAAAATAAATATTTCATAAATTTTGAGGTTTTCTAAAATCAAAAAGGTAATTAGAGCCAAGTAATTATCTAATACTTACCTAAAAACTCGCCCATAATTCCCATGTACTTTATATACACCATAGAGTCGATCGGCTACTCTCTGAAATAAATATTTAATAGATATTGATATTAAGCTTATAGAGATTACTTAAACAAAATCCTTGTATTATTAAAAACACAGCAAAACCCCAAAATGCACGCTTAGCACAATGAACTTGAAAAATACATTTAAAAAAACACTTAATCTCTACAATTCATCAAAAAAAAAAAATAACCTTGGGCTAGAAATGTGGCTTAGTGGCATGAAACTCTGAGTTTGATTCCTCAGTACCAAAAAACAAAAAAGCTGGAAGTGGCACTGTGTCTCAAGTGGTAGAGTGCTAGCCTTTAGCAAAAAGAAGCTCAGGGACAGTGCCCAGGCCCTGAGTTCAAGCACATGACTGGAAAAATAAAATAACCATAAAAACAAAAACAGGCCACTGGTGGTGGTTCATGCTTGTAATCCCAACTGCTCAGGAGGTTGAGATCTGAGAATCACAATTCGAAGTCAGTCCCTGCAGAAAAGTCTGTAACACTGTTATCGCTAATTAACCACTCAAAAAGCCAGAATTGGAGCTGTAGCTCAAGTGTTAAAGCATCAGACAGAGCAAAAAAGCTTAGGGACAGCACTAGGCCCTGAGTTCAGACCCCAGTACCAAACACACACACACACAAAAACCAGAGCTAGTGTTGCTACACCATATTTATCTTGTTTCCTTACTTCCTTTTATTCAGTTTCTCTTTTTTTTTTGAGGGGGGGGGTGGGTCTGGTCGTGGGGCCTGAACTCTGGGCCTGGGCACTGTCCCTCAGCTCTTTAGCTCAAGGCTAGCTCTCTACCACCTGAGCGACAGTGCCACTTCGGGCTTTTTTTTCTTTTTGCTTATGTGGTGCTGGGGAATCGGACCCAGGGCCTCCTGCATGCAAGGCAAGCGCTCTACCACTGAGCCACCTTCCCAGCCCTATGCAATTTCTCTTACTGCCTTCAAATTTCCTATAGCAAGGTAGAAATATTTTTTTATCCAGCAGAATAAAAAATACCACATGAAATAGTTGTATAAAAGTCTACTAAATAAATGAGGCACGATTAGTTCATGCCTATAATCCTAGGTACTCTGGAGGCAGAGGTCTGAGGAATGCAGTCCATAGCCAAAAACTCAGGGACACAGATGTACCCATGTACATGTGCATGTGCACACACACACACACACACACATACAGAGTTCTGCTGAATAGTGTATAAAATATGTTTTCTTAGCCGGGCACTGGTGGCTCACACCTATAATCCTAGCTATTGAGGAGGCTGAGATCTGAGGATGGAAGTTCAAAGCCAGCCTAGGCAGGAAAGTCCTGAGACTCTTATCTCCAATAAACCACTAGAAAACTGGAAGTGGTGCTGTGGCTCAAGCAGTAGAGCGATTGCCTTGAGCTAAAGAGCACAGGGACAGCGCCCAAGCCCAGAGTTCAAGCCCCACAACCGAACAAAAAAAAATAAATAAATGTTTTCTTTGTTCAATCATCTTGTCAGTACTTGTTCCTACTTTTTCAGTATTATAAGGTCCAATACATATCTCTAAGAGTAGGCTTTTCTCCTTCTATTGTTTCCTTATAATCTGGTTTTCAAAGTGGAAATTACCAGGGAAAAGGATATGCCTATTTTCTGTTTTATTGATTTACGGTTTTATACATAAAGGCTGAACATAAAGTATCCTTAATACTTTGTCAAAAGATAAATCCTTTTACCTGGCACTGGTGGCTCATGCTTGTGACCAAACTACCTAAGAGGCTAAGATCTGAGGATCACAGTTCAAAACCAGCCTGGACTTTTGGGCAGGAAAGTTCATGAAACTCTTATTTCCAATTAAGCTCTGAAAACTAGAAGCAGAGCTGTGGCTCAAAGTGGTAGAGCACTCGCCTTGAGCAAAAGAGCTTAGGGACAGGAGCCAGGCCCTGAATTCAAGCTCCAAGACCAAAAGTAAATAAATAAATAAAAATAAAAGAATTTTTTTTTTTTTTTGGCCAGTTGTGGGGCTGGAACTCTGGGCTTGGGCGCTGACCCTGCACTCTTCAGCTCAAGGCGAGCACTCTACAGCTTGGGCCACAGCGCCACTTCTGGTTTTCTGAGTGGTTTATTGGAGATAAGAGTCTCACTGGACTTTCCTGCCTGGGCTGGCTTTGAACCACCATCCTCAGATCTCAGCCTCCTGAGTAGCTAGGATTATAGGTGTAAGCCACCAGGCGCCCAGCTAGATAAATTCTTTTAACCAATAAACACGGTAGATATTTTAACAACAACAGAATTTCATTTAGATCATTAAGATAAAATGGGTACTGTCTAGTCATTCACATGTATTTTACAAAAAAAAATCACTTATGGTAATTAAAATTAGTATACCCTCAAACACAATGGATATAAACTAGAAGAGCAAATGCTAATTCCACATAAACACCTAATGTGTGTGTGTGTGTGTGTGTGTGTGTGTGTGTGTGTACAGCTTCTAAAGCTCTGAGGATAAACTACTTCCCGTGTGTGTGTGTGTGTGTGTGTGTGTGTGTGTGTATGTACAGCTTCTAAAGCTCTGAGGATAAACTATTTCCCATATGTGTGTGTGTGTGTGTGTGTGTGTACAGCTTCTAAAGCTCTGAGGATAAACTATTTCCCATATGTGTGTGTGTGTGTGTGTGTGTGTGTGTGTGTGTACAGCTTCTAAAGCTCTGAGGATAAACTACTTCCCGTGTGTGTGTGTGTGTGTATGTACAGCTTCTAAAGCTCTGAGGATAAACTATTTCCCATATGTGTGTGTGTGTGTGTGTGTGTGTGTGTGTGTGTGTACAGCTTCTAAAGCTCTGAGGATAAACTACTTCCAGTGTGTGTGTGTGTACAGCTTCTAAAGCTCTGAGGATAAACTACTTCGTGTGTGTGTGTGTGTGTGTGTGTGTGTGTGTGTGTGTGTTGCTAAGGACTGAACCCAGAGCTTCAATCACATTAGGCAAGTGTTCTACTCTATTTTTGTATATTATGGATTTCTGGTGCACAGTTTCTAAAGCTCTGAGGATAAACTATTATTTCCCTGATTCGTGTGTGTGTGTTGCTAAGGACTGTGTGTGTGTGTGTGTGTGTTTGTGTGTGTGTGGCTAAGGACTGAACCCAGAGCTTCAATCACATTAGGCAATTGTTCTACCTTATTTTTCTACATTATGGAAATCTTTAAATAGACAAAAAAAATACAGAAAACAAAGAGCTTAAGGATGTAGCTCTAAAACTGCCCCACTTTCTGCTTGTCACCAGTGGACTCTTTTTTTATTAAAGCAAATCCAAGACAAAAACTTTTTTTTTCCCAGTTCTGGGGCTTGAACTCAGGGCCTGAGCACTGTCACTGAACTTCTTTTGCTCAAGGCTAGCACTGTACCACGAAACCACATTCCCAGCCAACAATCTATTTTATTTCAATAAGATTGCAACCTTTATAAGATGTGATCTTACACTTTTGGTAACACATCAAGTTTAAAGTTCCTTCTAGTTTATTCCAAAAGATCAGAGTGGATGACACATTTTCCAGGTACATTAATTTACTTAAAAAGTATTTCCATTTCTTTATAGTCAAAGTATATCGTTAAGCACAAAGATTATTCCTCAGTTTCTAGTTCCTTTTTTCAAAGCAGACTGCCATCTCAAGTTAGTGGAACTTTAAGAACACGGAGGCAGGAGTAGTGATGCACACCTATAATCCTAATACTTGGCAGGAGGATTATGAATTGAGACCAGTCTGGGCAACAAAGTAAGACCTTGTTTCAAAAACAAAACATAACAAACCCCAGAAACCAAAACAAAACAAAAAGAATAGACACAGGATGGCTTAACATTCATAAATCATTCCATAAATCTTAAAAGCAAAACAAAACGTGGTAATAGCAGTAGTCTAAAATCCTATATTCATTTACATTCTAACACTGAAATGGCAAGCCTTTTGATAAGATGTTAAAACAACTACACTATTATGACCAGAAGAAAACAAAACTAAGCTAAGATTCTTCAAATAGTTCGTAATAGAGGAACATTTCATGAATGGTGACATAAAATCATCAGTTGAAAGCAAGGCACCAGTGGCTCACGCCTGTAATACTAGCTACTCAGGAGGATGAGAACTGAAGATCATGGTTCAAAGCCAGCCTGGGCAAGAAAAAGTACATGAGACTCTTATCTCCAATTAACCACTCAGAAAACTGGAAGTGGCACTGTGGCTCAAGTGGTAGAGTGCTTGCCTTGTGCTGAAGAGCTGAAGGACTGCACTCAGGCCCAGAGTTCAAGCCCCATGACCAACAAAAAAAAATAATAATAATCAGCTGTCATGAATTCCACTCACTACTTAGAAACACAGTGACTAAATGACAAACACCTTCCTAGCAAAAAGCTTAGTGACTACTTACAGCTCTCACGCGAAGAAGATGTGAGATGACAGACTGGAGTTCATCACTGTAGTGTTTTAGTTCAGTAAACCTCCTGCAACACGAAACAAATAAAACATCATTTTTTTCATGAGTACTAAGTAGTCAAATAACAGTTCCTGAGAATAATGACCATCAACATTTAAAAACCAACATAAATCACCAAAAACTTTTAGATTAAAAATCATTTTTGACATTTTGAAAGCCAAAAAAAGATGTCATACTACATAATGAAAATAATGGGATTGAGATAGAGACAAAATTAATTGGTATGAAGAATTACTTTACCAAATTTATGATGCTAAAAAAGTATGGTGCAACCATAAATCATGGTCTAATTTCAATTTTCCATTTCAGCATTTCCAGTCTTTATAAAGACCTGAAGCTCTGTCACTCTCCAAACAGCCTCACAAACCAGAAGCTATGGGAATGACTGCCACCTCTACCTCATGCCAACCAATTTAAGAACTTTCCCAGATCTTCTACTTTCTTTCTTTTCTCTAGAGATCAGTTCCTACCCTGCTCTATATTCAATTCTAGCATACCCCAATTTCCTAACTGCCCTCATCACTCTTCCTGGACAAAGTAACTCCTTTCTTAGATTGAAATGTTTTCTCCCTCTACTCCCCTTCCTTGATCACACACCCAGTACCTCTCAACATCCACTTTCACAACCACACACTTTCACACTCTCCACCTTCTACTAAGTTACCTGTCTGAAAATAAACACTTCCCTTCCATTTCACCTCTTGGCCTGGTGGAATCTGTCTTTACCCTCTGCACTATAGTGGAGAAGAAATATTTCTGACAAAGTTACCAACTATTTTCATGTTGCAAAATCTAACAATATATTGTAGCTCTTGGCAAGGTAACTGTAACATCAATGATACTTTCTATGTTGTTTTTTTTGTCAGTCGTGGGGCTTGAACTCTGGGCTTGGGTGCTACCCATGCGCTCTTCAGCTCAAGGCGAGCGCTCTACTGCTTGAGCCACAGCACCACTTCCAGTTTTCTAGTGGTTTATTGGAGGTAAGAGTCTCATGGACTTTCTTGCCCAGGCTGGTTTTGAACCAGGATCCTCAGATCTCAGCCTCCTGAGTAGCTAGGATTACAGGTGTGAGCCACCAGCTCCCGGCTTTATGGTTTTAACTCTTTGTTCCCTCCTGAAGTTTTGCTTGTAATATCCATTTCCTTCACCTCTCTGACATCTTCAACTTGAGCACGCAAAGAATTCCCAAAATGTGTGTTAAAATTACTACTGAAGAGGAGAAGAGTAAATAACCACACACAAAAGGCTAACTAGCATTTAGGATCTGCTGTATAACAAGCTCACCACAGGATTCAACTGCTGGTAACTCTAGGGTTACACTTCGGGAAATATCCTTCCAGGGTTGGTATTCCTTAGGGTTAAGTTAGTCATCTTGCTCCTAACTCCAGATCTGTAAATCCAACTTATATAGTGGAGATTTGTACTTGCTTACACATCCAAAGCTTACCCTGTCTTTCCCTTCCATCTCCAAATCTCTTTCTCTTATGGTCCATAGCACTATAAAGAATGAAACTGAGTGCTACCTGTAGTTCCTTCTCTTCTCCTTCATTCCATACCGTCTACTAATCATCCAGTCCATCAGTTCTACCTCCTTAGGATTATCCAATTCACTTCCATTTCTCTGGCCTGTCTGCCAATGCCCTAACATTAGCACCAAGCATATCTTACTGTACTCCCAATTAGATCCTTAGTGTACCATCATACCACTCTAATCTACTGTCCACTCTGCTTGGATGATCTTCCTAAAGTCCAAATCATTTCTCTGCTGCTAAACACACTTCTTTCTGCTGCAAAGCCTAGACACAGCCTGACACAGTGTCCAAAATCCTTAATGTGGTACTTATGTAGTTTCTGTGAAGGATCTGGCTGCGAAGATTGGGGCATCGGGTATTTCAGAAAATACTTAACCTACATTAGTCTTATTTTTTTTAGGCAGTGTTCTTCAGCTAGGACAATGCAAGAGTAAAGGGACTGGGGGAGCTTGGCTGTCATTGTGTTGAAAAACCCTATCTAATCTCCCTTTTACACCCAGATGAAAGGCAGAAAACCATGCTCTTCAATTTGCTTACATTTGTGGGATAAAACTCTAAAGGGATATAAACCTAACCAATGAGGCGTGAAACTCTGGGGAGATAGCTGGAAATGAAGAGACAAGGATGAGTGTGAGTTTTTCATTTTGTAAATTTCCCTTTTCTATCAATGTATACATTTATCTGGTTAACTATGAAAATGTATTCCCTAATCAAACAATTTTTTGGGGGAGGGGTCCAGTCGTGGGGCCTGAAGCTCTTCAGCTCAAGGCAAGTGCTCTACCACTTGAGTCACAGCACCACTTCCAGCCTTTTTTTTTCTGCTTATGTGGTGCTGAGGAATCGAACCCAAGGCCTCTTGCATGCAAGGCAAGCACTCAACCACTGAGCCACCTTCCCAGCCCGCAAACAATTTCTTTTTATTTTGGGGGGGGGGGTCCAGTTGTGGGGCCTGAACTCTGGGCCTGGGCACTGTCCCTCAGTTCTTCAGCTCAAGGCGAGCACTCTACCACTTGAGCCACAGCGCCACTTCCAGCTTTTTTCTTTTTTCTTATGTGGTGCTGAGGAATCGAACCCAGGGCCTCATGCATGCAAGGCAAGCGCTCTACCACTGAGCCACCTTCCCAGCCCCCTCAAACAATTTCTTAAACAACTAAATATCACTTACCTAACTTGTACAAGACTCTAGGTCCAATCCTCAGTGTACAAAATGTAAAACATCTAAATAAAATTAAAATTAAAATATAGTATGCTTGATAACTATGAATTGCTCTCAATATGTACACCCAATTAGGTCTGAGCTGGCATGATTTTTCTGTGGAAGTTGATTTGAATTGAAGCACAAGTGACAGTCTGTAAAGTCCTCAATCACTTTGTGCTGAGTCCTAGGAACCAGGAAAATTCTCTAAGGTTAGTCGAACATCTCTAGACCTGATCAGATCTCCTATAGACTTTTCCTTTCCAGATTGCCAACTCTAGAGGGGGCAATAACTACAAAATTCTTAGATGTCATACTGGGTTATGAAAAAAGTTCAGGGGAATAAACATAGTTTAAAGCTTACAGTACCTAAACTGGGTAAACCAGAAGTTTCTAAAGTTGGCACAATTTCTTGAATAATGCTCATAAGGAAATAGCTAGTATTCTAGGGAATCACATTGCTAAGAGTCAGAAGTAAAAGATTATATACAATTGCAACGTTGATGAAGGGATAAACATGCATCTTGGGAAAAATCAGTTATAGAGACTTCAGAAGACCTAAAGGTAAACACTGAAAAAATTCATCAAGCCTCCGATAACAGTGTGCACTTAAGAATGAAGGAATGGATTTTCCAGAAATAAGGTCTACCATTCTTGCCAAAATCAAAATGTAGCCATGTCAACATATTATTTTATGTGTTTTGCCAGTCCTAGGGCTTGAACTCTGGGCCTGGACACTGTCCCTAAGATTCTGTGCTCAAGGCTAGTTACCACTTGGACAATGTTTGGAGTTTAGTGGAGATAAGAGTCTTATAGACTTTTCTGCCTGGGCTGGCTTCAAAGTGTGATCTTCAGATCTCAGCCTCCTGAGTAACTAGGATTATAAGTGTAAGCCAGAGGTGCCCAGCGATGGCTGTACATTAAAATGAAGACTCTCATAGCCTTAATAGTTAGATGTTCTTAGAAAAATTAAAGACTGAAAAACATATATCCAACATGTTGTGGTCTAAATGGAAAAACAAAGAGGGAGACAAAGATATAAAACTTTCTTCCCAGATACTAAAAATCTAAAACTCGTGTCTACGAGGCAGGTAAAATCAACATGCAAACTTACTAAGTTTGAAGGTGTTACCTAAGATAGAACGAACTTTACTTTCTATTCTCCTAATAGTCTCTAGGATCGCTAAAGACTCTACACTTCCTTCTTCCTCCCATAGCCTAGCTTTTTGTTTGTTTGGGGTTTTTTGTTTGTTTTGCATCACTGAGGTTTCAATTTAGGGTTCAGACTTAGACTGGTATTGTACCACTGGAGCCCCATCCTCAGGGCTCCATATTATACTTTTTTTTTCTTGCTGATTATCATTTCCCCCTTCCCCCCCCCCACCCTTCCACCACCACTACCTACTTTAAATCCAGACAGGGACCTCTCCTAATCAATTCATATTCATTATTCAAGACTTATCCTGAAAAGAACCTCCATCAAGGCTTTGTCCTGAATGCTTCTTAATCTCAGCTCAAGGGCACAAACACAATGTAGGGTCCAATAGTTTAGGGTTTATTTCATAGTGGTTTCAGATTTTCCTATGGCTTTTGTTTTCTCCATCCCATTAAAATGAAAGTACTGAAAGTATACAGAGTCACCTACGCATATTTACAACTGGTACAATCAACTATTACCTGAAATCAAGTCTGAGTGGGAAACAAAATTGTCAGTTAGCACCAACCCTCTTCTTCAGGCCTTGCTGCCTATCTGTAGCAGCAAGGGTATCTTATATAATAGGGTATCTTAAATGCCTTGAAGAGAACTTACTCAATATATTTATTCATCCATACTTGTTGCTCCCAAACTCAGCATAAAAAAGTGGTATAACATGAAAGTTTGGAAACTTAAGGAATAACCCAAGAATTTATTTATTTTTGGTGGTCCTGAGGCTTGAACTCAGGGCCTGGGTACTGTCCCTGAGCTCTTGCTCAAGGCTAGTGTTCTACCATTTTGAGATACAGCTCCACTTCTGGTTTTCTGGTGGTTAGTTGGAGATAAAAGTCTCAGGGGCCAGGTGCCGGTGGCTCACGCCTGTAATGCTAGCTACTCCAGAGGCTGAGATCTGAGGATCACATTCAAAGCCAGCCAGAGCAGGAAACTCTGAGAGACTCTTATCTCCAATAAACCACTAGAAAACCGGAAGTGGCATTGTAGCTCAAGTGGTAGAGCGCTGGCCTTGAGCTGAAGAGCTGAGGGACAGTGCCCAAGCCCAGAGTTCAAGCCACACGACCAACAAAAAAAAAAAAAAAAGAGTCTTAGGGACAGTTAGGCTGGCTTCAAATTGATCCTCAGATCTCAGCCTCCTGAGTAACTAGAATTACAGGCCTGAACCAATACCAGTGCCCAGCCCCAAATTATAATTTTAAGTATCTGACTGTGAGGCCTAGCTTTCTTTTAAAAGAAGAAAATCATTCTATACTTGATATAATGAAAGTTTAAAAATTTTTTTTGATCAAGTGGTAACTAAAAGCTACAGTAAATTAAACTTCTACTGCACAGAAAGCATAGAAGAGGGTAGTATGAGAGGCCTTAGCCAACGTACAGTCATTCTGGACTTAGACTCCATTGTAAAGGCCTTCACCAAAGGTATCCATTGTGAAGGCCTTTACAGAAAGTACCCACTGTAAAGACTTTTACTGAAAGTAAGAACTTAGGTTCCTAGAAAAATGTTCTGCCTGTAACTCCCCTAGCAATAGCCATCAGCGGATGACAGGAAAGTACCTAAAGCTCCAGATGTGCGGATGACAGGAAAGTACCTAAAGCTCCAGATGTTTCTTAAGATAGCATAGTTAATATAGTTAATTCTTAACGGCTTAGCCCAAGCACTCTAGCCAATAAGATTGTTACAAGATTCACTCACTGAATGTCAAACAGTCATGTAACTGCTAAGCTAGGTACTCCCCTACCTCAACCCTACACCCTATAAAAATCCCTGTTTAACTGAAGGGTCCACTCTCAACTCTCCGTGACAGTTGTGAGTCCAGGCTCGAGCTTGCAATAAACGACTCTGGTGTGCTTGCATAGGAATCGGCTACTTGGTGGTCTTTGGGGATCCTTATCTGGGCATAACAAGCATTGCTTATTTCTACAGGAAAGAGTAGATTTTAAAATAACGATGTAAATAATGTCACTTCTTAAATCTGGTTGTCTAGATTTTGTTTTAATGGGTTTAGTATATTTGTAACAAAATATAAGATCAGCCTCAGGCACATCTCTTTTAAGAAAAAAAATACCATCAAGACAAGTGAACAAAGGAGGGAAGTCTCTCCAGCATCACCATCTTTCACTGCAATGTGAAAAGGTGGAAGAAAAAGAGGGCTGGTTGTGGGATTTGAACCTGAGACCTCTTCTACCCTGACAGAATCATACTCCTATACCAATGAGCTACTGCACTTCTTGGTCTTCTGCTATTATAAAGGTGTATTCTACATATCCAGCAGGAATTTTTCACTGGAAGCAAATGCAGGCCACACAAAATGAGAGCGCAATGTTAGCAGGACCATGTGCCCATTCTGTCCAGGTTCCCAGCTCTTGCCTACTTGCATGATTTATATTCTTTCTTCCTTGTACATCAGTGTGACAATATGAGAATGGGCAACTATGGAGGACTGCCATCACCCTGGATACCTGACAACCAGGGGATTAAAACACAAATCCTATTCATCAGTCATTGGAGGACAACCAATCACTCCAGTGCCGAAGTTGATATCCAAGGGCTCTGGAGTAGTAGAGGGCTGCCCCAGAAACTGGATTCTGGACATACTGGACATCATCTGGACATGGCTTGTTAGTTAACTGCTCAAATAACAGACTACATCCATCCCATTTCAATCAATTCATAAGAGCCTGGCATTAAAAAGAAGAAATGAGTACACTTCTCACACTTAATAAAGACTTCACTGTGGAGCTACATTACTCTCATGATTGTGTTTCTGAATCCTCTAAAACAGACAAAGTATATGGAACACGTGCTGCAGTGAGATTTCATTAAAATGTATAAAGAGATGGATTTCTACTGTCTCAGATTCCCTAGTCTAGGAAATATTTGTTTTGCATGGTCTAGATGTGCTGCATGCAGCATGGCCAATATTCATGGAAAGGAGCCCTGGACCCAAGATGTCCCTCAACCCTACTGTCCCAGGGAAACTGGAAGAGTAGGTTATATCAAGGCCATTATGAACCTCAGGGGCTCTCTGATCAGAATACAAGTGTCAGCAAATATGGTCAGAACAACAGAGATAATTCTGCATGGAGTGAAGACCTGAAAACATTGGATGTAGATATTAGGTTTCTTGGTGCCCTTCAGAAAGTGGTCTAGTGGAAATTCTGGTGACCACAGTTGTATGATGGAAGCCAAGAAAGGTGACTTGTAAAACTATGCACGTAGGGGGTCGCTGGTGGCTCACGCCTGTAATCCCAGCTACGTAAGAGGCTGAAATCTGAAGATTGCAGTTTAAAGCCAGCCAGGGCAGGAAAGTCTGTGAGATGCTTATCTCCAGTAAACTACAAAAAATGCTCAAGAGTGCTAGCCTTGAGCACAAAAGCTCAGGGACAGAACCAAGGCCCTGAGTTCAAGCCCCAAAACTGATAGAACTAAAAACTGTGTGCCTGGGCTGGGAAGGTGGCTCAGTGGTAGAGTACCTACCTTGCATGCATGAGACCCTGGATTCAATTCCTCAGCACCACAAAAACAGAAAAGGTGGGAAGTGGTGCTGTGGCTCAAGTGGTAGAGTGCTAGCCTTGAGCTGAAGACCTGAGGGACAGTGCCCAGGCCCAGAGTTCAGGCTCCACGACTGACAAAAACCAAACCAAAACAAAACAAAAACTGTATCTATCCAGGTAATGCAGGTCCTACCCTTCCCCAGCCAAACTGGACTAGGTTATATGGGCAGGGGCTCTAGGAGCAGCCAGCCATCATCATGGCTCCACCCATTCTGCCTGGATCACAAAATTTTAGCCACACCCTCTATTTTCATGTTTTTCTCTGGCCAATGCAATACAAAAAATTGAGGCCGTGCTGCCCAGTAGCACTGGTATTCTCTCTGTTGGCTTACACCACCACTAGCAGTTGAGGGAGGCGGAGGTGCTAAGTGGCATAAGAATCAAAGTGATTTTGGAGATACAGAAAGTAAATGTCGTTGGTGATGATTGGGAGAATAGAGGTGAATTGAGAGCACCTGGTGTAATGACCAGCGGGGCCCCAATAATCAGCAGGGGGCGGGGCATCAAGAGCCTCACCGGAGGGGACAGGACATGGAGAAGCAGGGTAAGCCTCCTTGAGAGGTATTTGGTACCTCCTCTGGAGGTCACTAGGGGCTTCCTCAAGGGGCCTTTTGGGACCTTCTTCTAGACATGCCTGTGGAGAGGCGCCTCCGGGAGCAGAGCAGGGCAGGCCTGTGGAGAGTGGAGAGGCCTGCAGAGGAGGTGGAAGGAAAGAAAAGGAAAAGCCGACTTTGGAACTTTGGAGGTCTGAGATTGGAGATTTGCAGACTAATTGTTGGTTTGCAGACCAACTAATAAAGGTCGGGGCTGCCCATTGGAGGCTTGGAGGTTTGGTGTTCCAGGCTGCCCTTGGTTCTGGGTATCTAGCCCAGGACAAGGTAGTCACAGGACCCCTTTCTGATACAAATAGTGTAAATAAACTTCTTTTGTGCACCTTTAACTGTGCCTCGATGGATTGTCTCTCTTCTGAGGTCATAAGTTTGGGAATGTGCCCCCCCACTTCACTGTCCCAGCACTGGGATGTCTAAACAAGACTTACAAAATTAGCTGCAGGAAAGAAAGTACTGCAAGAATACCAGCAGAGGAATTGTCCTGATGGACTTGCAGAATCCAAGAAAAAGAGGAACATTAAAAAGGGAGGTAACCCCAAGAAAGACACAACTAGAGACTGTAATTCAACTGAAGGTGCAGCCAAAGACCATGCAGACCCTGATTCTCTCCCTCCACTGGGCACTGCCAGAGCTGCCAGGGTCAAGAGTGTCACAGGTCCCAATAACACTGAGGGCCTGGAAAGGTGCACCAACACTTGGTGCTTGCCCTGGACTCCAGCAGAATATAAAGCCAGCAGTTCAGTAATGAGATCGAACAACTGAAGCAGAAAAATAAAGACCTGCAGAACAAGAGAAAGAAAATGAAAAGATGGCCTGTGTGCAGGAAGTTCTGAAAACAAAGTTAGAGCTTCATAAGCTATCAATACAGATGTAGGTTTCAGAAAAATTTGACTTACACTCTGCCCTGGCCCACATGCAGCAGGTGGCCAATGAAAGAGAACAGGAGCACCAAGATCTTGAAAGCTGCCTGCAGGCTTCAGAGCAGCAGGTCACACAGCTAGAGATGACACTGACTGCAGTCTCCACCACGCAGAATGAGACCAACAAGAACAACCTAGAACTCACAAAAGCCCTGAATAACGTGAAGGTGCAGTTCCAGGAAAAGGCCAGAAGCTGTGATGACCTGGAGGAAGAGAACACTGAGCTGCAGAAGCTGGAAGTGCTTCTGACACAGAAGGCAGACATGAAGATCAAAGTTCGCGGGTTTCAACAAGCATTAGTGGAGCAGGCAGAGTTGGAAAGACAAATGGACAACATGAAAGAGTTGTTGACAACATTAAAGTTGGAGGGAGAGAACTTGGTGCAGGACCTGAGGGTGGAGAGATCCAGGTGGCAGGAGAAGGTCCAGCAGCTCTTGGAGCAGATGAGCAACTGAGAGAGGAGAAAGAGCAAGGGGTGAGGCAGCTGTTGGACCTAGAGCTGTTGGAACTGAGAAAGCAGCTGGCAGAGCTGCCGCCTCTGCAGCCCCTGCATTGCAGGGCCATCTCAGGTTGAGCAGCAGCTGCAGGCCCAGGCCTTCCACTTGCAGAAAGAGTTCAAGAACCCGGAGGAACAACTTCACATCCAGATACAGGAAAACCGGAGCCTCAATCTCCAGAACCTGGGGCAGCAGCAGTGGCTGTGGATACTGAAGAAAGCTGAGGATTGGGATCAGCATGCTGAGGATCGGCACAAGATCCTCAAGACAATGGAATAAGAACATGTGACTATGAAATGCACACTCATGCATAACCGAGAGCTGAAAGATCAGGTGACCCAGCTGCAGGATGCGTTCCACAGACTGAGTGGTGAGAAGGAGGAGCTCACCAACATCCTTCACTCAGAGCAGCAGGCAAAGAAAACTCTGCAGAAGAAGCTGGGCCAGGTATATGAGACGTTAGAAGAATGGAAAGAGATGGTTGAGTTAAAGAGCCAAGTGGCTCAGAATTAGCAGAAGTAGCATAACCAGAATCTGGCCTAAATGCAGGAGCTCAGAGCCACCTGTGGACGGCACATGACCTCCAGTCAGCAGCTGACCTCAGAGAGGAGGCCCTGCAGCAGCACCTGCTAAGACACATCCAGCTGCTAGAGCAGCTGAAGCAAGAGCAGGTGCAAAGCAAGTTAGGGTACCAGATGGTGCCTCAAAAGTTACAGGAGGGGCTGGGAAGGTGGTTCAGTGGTAGAGCGCTTGCCTTGCATGTCTGAGACCCTGGGTTCGATTCCCCAGCACCACATAAGCAAAAAGAAAAAAAGCCGGAAGTGGCGCTGTGGCTCAAGTGGTAGAGGCTAGCCTTGAGCTGAAGAGCTGAGGGACAGTGCCCAGGCCCAGAGTTCAGGCCCCACGACCGGACCCCCCCCCCAAAAAAAAAGTTACAGGACACATTGAAGTGCCCAGAAGCAACAAGACAGGAGAATGAGCAGCTGTGGGCCCAGCTGAGCGTCTTGTTTTTCCCTATGTAAGGTAAAGGCCTAAGCAAAGAAGAAAGGGGAGAGGAGGCAACTCCTCCTGATATGACTGTCCCTGAGGACATAGACAAGCCACAAATGATGTGGGATTTTTACCTTCAATGCTGTCAGTAGCTGAACCAAAGAAGGTGAAGTTCAGCTGACAGTTGCAGGAACACTATGCCCATTGCCTGTGCCTGGCCAGCCTGTCAGCTCAGTTGCAGATAAAGCTGGAGCACCATGTCCTCTTCCCCAAGAGCTGGAACCATGAAGTGCATGGAGACAGGGAGCAGGACACACAGGTGCCCAAGAAGAAGCTGAAAATCTGCTTCATCCATGAACTGCCTGACAAGGTGGACCACCAGAATCAATCGGATGACCTGCAACATTGATGCAGCCAGCTGTCAGAACACATCAGCACCACTGAAAAATCCATAGTGTTCTATAAAGAACAGATGGAAGTCCTGAATGAGTTGTGCCAGGAGAAAGACAAGCGCATCAACCAGCTGTCCCAGGAAAAGGAGAAGGAGGAGCTGCAGGAGCTGCTGTTGCACCTTGCAGGTGAAGGCACAGAGTGCCAGGACAAGATGCTGGCAGCCACTCAGGCCCCCTTACACCTGTGGGGTCCCACGGAGATGGAAGTTATGGAGGAGCAGCAAGGTTTCAAAGTGGTACAACTTGAAGACAAGGAGAAGCTGTGGTGCCTAGTACCCTGGAGAATGCCACCACCAAGCAGATTGTGCCACCGCTGCCCAATATCCAGCAACACCAAGAACTTGCAGGCTTGGATAACAAGTCCACCTTCCCTTTCCTCTCCAGATTGATGCAAACGATGAGTTTGAGATAATTACCATCTGAAGACCTTGCAGTCACCACCTAGAGAAGTGCGCTCCTATCCTCTTTCACATACTTTAGGACATGGCAGCTGGGTGGCATTCTCTGTGTAACTGGAGGCCAGACAGGGCAGAGGCTGCTGGGAGGTGGTCCAAATTCTAGGGACACCAAATAGTCCATTGGTTGCCAGCAAAGGGGCTCATATGATGGTTTATTGCAAAGGAAGATGTTTTCTCTTAGCATATTGTATTAGTGGTGTTATTTTATAAACTACTTCCATATTTAACATACTCATTATTTTCTGATACATTCTTATGCTGATTTATGGGGTAGTTTTCTTAATTATTTTCATTTTTAAGAAAAATTTCTAAAGGAAAAAGTTCTATTTCCTCAAGTTTTTCCATTATTTAACACTAGATGTTGGTGCATTCATGTATTTTTAATATTGTACACAAGGAACACTGAATTTTCTTGTTTGTATTTAATATACTACAATGGTAGTATATTAAATGGTAGTACTAAGGTGAAGAAACAGTACAAACTATGAAAAAGAAGAAAAGGTTATTAGACCTGACAGTTTGGAAAAAAAGAAATATTAATAAAACAAATGGAGGTGTCTTGTAGTGGGAAAACATACAGAGAGCAGAAATATAATGAAGAATAATACACAATTATAGAACATCAATAATGAGAATGTCAAGCATCACAATTTTTGAATTATGAACTGTTCAGATGCTAAATGTGGCATATTCATTGAATCAAAATATTAAAATTCAAAATAAGAAAAATATACCATTAATGCAGTGCAAAGGCATTTACAAAGTGCAAGCCACATACAAGAAGCAAGCTCCCAGTCTTCTGAGTGCTTTTAACAGCGTCCTTTGGGGACAGATAAACATGTAAGAAAAAAAATATGAGCCAGGCACCAGTGGCTCATGCATGTAATTCGAACTACTCAAAAGACTCAGATCAAGGGCTGGGAAGGTGGCTCAGTGGTAGAGTGCTTGCCTTGCAATGCATGAGGCCCTGGGTTCGATTCCTCAGCACCACATAAGCAAAAAGAAAAAAGCCGGAGGTGGCGCTGTGGCTCAAGTGGTAGAGCGCTAGCCTTGAGCTGAAGAGCTGAGGGACAGTGCCCAGGCCCAGAGTTCAGGCCCCACGACTGGACCCAAAAAAAATAAATAAATAAATAGAAAAGCAAAAACCAGTCAAATAATTTTTCCATCCAAAGTAAAGAAATTACAGTGTCAGTTATAAAGTTAGCTCAACTAGGAGTCAATTTCAAAACATAGTTTGGTTTCAAAAATCTCCATCAGCAGGTTGGAGGTACAGCTCAAGTGGCACAGCACTTTGCTTTTAAGCCTGAAGCCCTGAGTTCAAACCCCAGGACTGCTAAAAAAATAGGGTCAACTTCAAAATATTATAGTATTCTAATGTTCAACTTACAAATACTCTCAAATAACAAAACACACAAAGCAAGCAATATAAACTACTAGGACTTCCCACATTACTTGACTAAAAAAAGAAAACCAAATGTAACCAGTACACCCTCCAAAAATTTTCCCAGTCTCCTAAAACTTTACTTACTCTATCACTTATTTTAGGTGATGCTCTTATTTTTAAAATCAATATTATACGTATTTTATCTCAAAGACAAATGAGTATGTGAACTAATTTGCAAATAAAAGCACCTATGAATTCAGGGCACATACTGTATTATTATTACTGAACAGCCAACAATCTCACAAATGTTAGTGACTTTAGTCACATGAAAATGTGATTCTTTAAATAAGATCAAAGTACATTAAAAAAGAAAATTCTCAGCTAGGCACTGGAGGCTGGGATCTGAGGATTATGGTTCAAAGCCAGCCAGGGCAGGAAAGTCCAAGAGACTTCTTTTCTTTTTTTTTTGGTGAGACTACCATACAGAGGAGTTACAATTACATGGGTCCATGAGACACTTATCTCCAATAAACCACCAGAAAACCAGATGTGGTGCTGTGGCTCAAGTGGTAGAGCGCTAGCCTTGAGCTGATGAGCTGAGGGACAGTGCCCAGGCCCAAAGTTCCAGCCCCATGACTGACCAAAAAGAAAAAGAAAATTTTCATTTCTATTTTTCTCAAACCTACTTTCTAATATTACCAATGTGATTTTTGATTTCTAACACCACCAGTTCAGAAGCCACATAAATGCATAAGTAAACGATCCTAATCTTTGCTTACCAAACACATTATATCAAGTTAGATGTATTGGGTGTGGTAACACCCAACTCAATCTGCTCATTATTTCACAAGATTCCACACACACAAAAAAAAGGAAAACTGCTTAAAATGTCAACGAACCAGAAACTTCCCCCAAAGCTGAATGTTTGAAAAGCTATCTGGGCCTCCAAATCTGATAGGCTACTATCAACTTCTCAGACTCACCATTAACCATCTAAAGATGCCCTCTAACTTGTCATTTTCCATATCACACTGTTTTATTGCTGGACCAAAAAAAATAGGTTTATTTTATATTTCAAACTCATTTCTTACTATATCCACACTACCAGAGAACTTGGCATTCTGTAGGCACTCAGCACTTGGAACCTTTATATCGCCTCTCTTGAAGCTCCTGTGCAATTCAGAGGCTAGCAGAGATCCTAAGGAACTAGACCTTTGGATGTGGCAATCCCTGTGGCAAGCAAGAGATAAGGCTCTAAATTCTTCTGAGTTAGCCGGCATTCATTTGAGGTTTCAGCATGTAGAACTGAGTTGAGTTCAAAAATGTTACTTTGTATTTAAACAACTAGTTTATATGTTCGCAACTCTAGGGATAAATTTACTCTACTCTGAAATGCCAATAATTAGTAATGATTTTAAAAACTGGTTGTTTAAACTTATAACCTTCACTTAAAAAAGAGAATCTGAGGCTGGGAATGTGGCTTAGTGGTAGAGTGCTTGTCTAGTATGTATGAAGCCCTGAGTTCCATTCCTCGGTATCACATAAACAAAAAGAAGCCAGAAGTGGAGTTGTGGCTCATGTGGTAGAGCACAAAAGTCCCTTGAGCAAAAGAAGCTCAGACAGTGCCTAGGCCTGAGTTCAAGGCCTAGGACTGGCAAAAAAAAAAAAAGTAAAAACATTAAAAAAGTTATTCGCCTAAGAAGAAATTCTATCTCTTCAGAACAATAGTTGTCAAGTTTTAAGCTAATTCAGTATATTTGACACTCTGAACAAATCATGCTGATATCTAAGATGTATACTGAATTAAGAAAACTCTGCAAAAGCCGGGTGCCAGTGGCTGATGCCTGTAATCCTAGCTACTTAGGAGGCTGAGATCGGAAGATAGCGGTTCAAAGCCAGCCCGGGCAGGAAAGTCCATGAGACTTTTTTTTTTTTTTGCCAGTCATGGGGCCTGAACTCTGGGCCTGGGCGCTGTCCCTCAGTTCTTCAGCTCAAGGCTAGCACTCTACCACTTGAGCCACAGTGCCACTTCTGGCTTTTTCTGCTTATGCAGTGCTGAGGAATGGAAGCCAGGGCCTCATGCATGCAAGCGCTCTACCACTGAGCCACCTTCTCAGCCCCTCCATGAGACTCTTATCTCCAATAAACCACTAGAAAAAAAACGGAAGTGGCGCTGTGGCTCAAGCAGTAGAGCACTCGCCTTGAGCTGAAGAGCTGAGGGATAGCACCCAAGCCCAGAATTCAAACTCCACAACCGACCAAAAAAAAAACTCTGCAAGTGAAATTTCAAATTATTTTTCCTGCTGCTAAGGTTTAAACAGAGCCAGGCCTCATCCAGCTTAGCACTCTACAAATAAGTCACATATCCAGCCTGTTAGCTGATGAACTGGCGATGGAGTCTTGAGGACATTTCTGTCCAAGTTGTCTTCAAACTGTGATCCTCTGGATCGTAGCTTTCTGAGTAGCTAAGATTATAGAAAGGTGCCACCAGTACCTAATAGTCTTACTTTTCCTTATAATTTGTAGATAACTACCATAAACAATACTGAATCCATCTGCCCTGCAGATGGCCCTAAGGGGGGGGGGGGGCATGCAGCTGTCACGGTGTCTGACCTTCACACTGTTTATGCCCAGTCACTATTACCACATTGTGTCTCTCCACAGTGAGAGGCACAATGTTTGTTTTTGGTGTCCGTTTTGGGGCTTGAACTCCGGGCTTAAACTTTGTCCCTGTTTTCTCATTCAAGGTTGGTGCTCTACCACTTGAGTCACACCTCCGCTTCCAGCCCTTTGGTGGTTAATCAGAGATAAAAGTCTCAGGGACATTCCTGCTCAGGCTGGCTTAGAACCATGATCTTCAGATCTCAGCCTCCTAAAGTAACTAGGATTACAGGTGTGAGCCACCAGTACCCTACTAGTCCTTATTTATATCTCTTTAATTTCTACTAAAACACATTATCTGAATAACTGTGACTATAATATTATACAACTAAAATAAAATTAAGGTTGACTCTACCCAAGAGAACTAAAATATTACTAAACATTCAACAATAACTTTCCTTTGTACATCTCAGAAGTCAGTTTAACTTAAATCTCATTTTTCTACTGTAATCAAAGTGTGATTTCCAAAATCATGACTTCCTGATAAGTGAAATGTGACACTATGTATGTATAAATATATGTAAATAGAGAATCCCATATGCATACATATACACATACATATATGTGGGGTTATCCAAAAGGTACCCACTTCCTTGATGGAAGGAAGGATAGAAAACAACACATACTATAACAAAATAAGAAATAAGGCAAGACAAATTGATTCCTGAATTCTTTTCATGCATTTTATTTCTGGTCACTTCCATGTGTAACATGTATTAAGTAATAAACTAATACTATATAAAAGTATAAAAAGAAGCTGGCACTGGTGGCTACTGCCTGTAATCCTAGCTACTCAGGAGGCTGAGATCTGAAGATCACGGTTCAAAGCCAGCCTGGGAAGGAAAGGTTGTGGGACTCTTGTCTCCAATTAACCACCAGAAAGCCAGAAGTGGCATGGTGGCTCAAGTGGTAGAGCACTTGCCTTGAGCTGAACAGCTTGAGGGACAGCACCCAGGCCCAGAGTTCAAACCCCACAACTGATTTTTTTAAGTATAAAAAGTATTACTTTTTAGGGGGGGAGGGGGGGGGCTGGGAAGGGATGTGAAGGATAAACAAAGGAGGAGGCTGCAATGCTTGGTAAGAAATGTACGCATTATCCTGCCCATGTAATTGTAACCCCTCTGTACAGTATGTTCACAAATAAAATAAATTTTTAAAAAAGTATTACTTTTTAAATGGTTTTTGTAATTTAAAAACATAGATCCAAGTTTGTAGTCATCAGCTACCCAAATACAATATTGGATCTAAGCCCTTAAAAAAGCACCTATCCATGAGAATCCAAGTACTCTGTCAACTGTATAGTTTATAACAATGGCAAAGTCAGGTGTTTTTTTCAACATCACCGAAGTTATGGCCCAAAACTACATTCAATGACAAATCTTAGATAAAGTGATTAATGACTAAATCAATAATTGATTTTTTGTGTGTATTACATAAAGAGAATTCACCAAAACATGTGTTTTAATTTTCTTTTTCTTATCAACTTCTAAAATATCTTAAGACAATTTCTCAGCAACCCTATCAAAATATAAATAATTTCTAAAAGTTTTATTTCAAATCCATCCCTAAACTAAATAACATTTTAACATTCCCCAAGTGCCAAAAAATGATAAATTACAATTTTAAAAAACTTCTATTTATTTTCAAGTGTATCTGCCCTTTTTTAAATATTTGAAAAATTAGAATAACTCAAGGATAGAATTAAAGAATGAAATATGTTTCCTTGCAGGACAGTAATTTTCCCTTTCTAGTTTTTTTTGTTTTTTTGGATACTAAACTTCAAATACCTCCAAAGCCAATGCATAAGGTATTGGGGACATTTTTCTTTTTCTCTTTTTTTTTTTGTTGGTTGTGGGGCCTGAACTCTGGGCCTGGGCACTGTCCCTCAGCTCTTCAGCTCAAGGCTAGTGCTCTACCACTTGAGCCACAGCGCCACTTCTGGCTTTTTTTTTGCCTGCTTATGTGGTGCTGAGGAATTGAACCCAGGGCCTCATGCATGCAAGGCAAGCACTCTACCACTGAGTCACCTTCCTAGCCCCAGAGGACATTTATTAAATATCTGAATACATTTTGTTTCTTATGCCTCAATCTCTACTGTATCATCATGTGAACCATTTTTTGTCTGTATACAGGGTGAAAGGTTGAGTATTTCAACTTTTCATGACCAAGAATGCTCTTTTAGTCTACTAGTGCTGGAAAATCCAACGTGGGTCATCAGAGTGTCTTCTTTTCTGATAGAGGGAACTGTGCAAGGCATAGGTGTAAATAAAATGGAGGATAGAAGGAATAAAGATAAAAAAAAAAGTACTAAATATACTGTGAGACTAGTCTGTATTTGAATTACTGATTCACAATGTTTTCCTAAATAGAATTAACAAATGTGCCCGTTATAGTTCCACAAGTAACTAAAAATCATACAAATCCAAAGAGGATTGCAGTATTTCTTAGACAACTTTACAAGTGAGAGTAGACATAAAGCTGAATTCCAATATTCACTTATTTAAAAAAAAATGGTACCCATTAAATGCATGGCATCATGCTGAGAACCATAAAGGGCGATGGCAAATCATTTACACAAATAGTTACCTTCAGCTGAAACCCAGTTTCATTCACAGTCTCCTTCCAGTTACCTTCCTGAAAATTAAAAGTTAACTTTAGAAATCATTACTGTAAAGTCAAACAATCCCTATATTCTATTCCACATCAGATAAACTGAATACCTACCATTCTGTTCTTATTTCAAAGGAGGTTGGAGACAGTGAGAAATTCTTTTCACTTTAAATTTAAACATACAATGTGGCCGAGCACTGATGGCCTGTAATTCTAGCCATTAAGGAGGCTGAGATCTGAGGATCACAGTTCAAAGCCAGCCGGCACTGGAAAGTCTATGAGGCTCTTATCTCCAATTAACCACTACAAAACCAGAAGTGGCACTATGGCTCCAGTGGTAGAGCACTAGCCTTGAGCTAAGGAGCTAAGGTACAGCACTCAGGCCAAGTTCAAGCCCCACGACCAACAACAACAACACACAAAAAAAACAACTTAGCCAGAAAAGTGATGTAATCCAACAATTTTTGGGGGAAGGGGTCAGTTATAGGGCTTGAATTCAGGGCCTAGGAATTGTCCTTGACCTTTTATGCTCAAAGCTAGTGCTCTACCACTTTGAGATACAGCTCCACTTCTGGTTTTCTGGTTGTTAACTGGAGATAAAAAGCCTCATAAACTTTCCTGCCCGGGCTGGCTTTGAACCACGATCCTCAGATCTCAGTCTCCTGAGTAGCTAGCATTATAGGCATGAGCCCACTAGCATCTGGCTTAATCCAACAGTTTGAAATTCAAAACTCTACACAGTAAATGGCATATAAAAAGCTAACTCCAAGAAGATTCTGAAGAATAAGTAGTATAAGCTAGTTATTGGTAACTCATATCTTTTTGTTTTTTCTTTTTTATGCCAGTCCTGGGGCTTGTACTCTGGGTGTGGGCACTGTCCCTGAGCTTCTTTTGCTCAAGACTAGCAGTCTACCACGTGAGCCACAGTGCCACTTTTGGTTTTTTCTGTTTCTGTTTATGTGGTAGTGAGGAATCAAACCCAGGGTTTCATGCATGCTAGGCAAGAACGTTACCACTAAGCCACATTCCCAGCCCCCAAATGAGTTTTTTGTTTATTTTGTTGGTCGTGGACTTTGAACTCTGGGCCTGGGAACTGTCCCTCAGCTCTTCAGCTCAAGGATAGCACTCTACCACTCCAGCCCCAGTACCACTTCCAGTTTTCTGATGGTTTATTGGAGATAAGAGTCTCATAGTCTTTCCTACCAGGGCTGGCTTTGAACCACGATCCTCAGATCTTAGCCTCCTGAGTAGCCAGGATTACCTGTGTGAGCCACCAGCACCTGGCTCAAATGAGTATTTTTAAAAGACTAAAAGAAAGTTACCTGTGTTAAAAACAAATAGAAGATTTTGTCTCTACAAAGGATGGGATGTGAAGCAACTCTCAAGAGGAAGTTTTCTAAGCCAATCCGCCGTCTCTCAACAAAATCTGGATCCATGTTGTCAGCAGAAAGTTTATGCCAAACAAATTCTGCCTACATAAACAAAACCACCATTAAGAATATCCTCAGTGATTAGAACTTCTACACTGCTACCATTTTACTTCTTACCCGTTTTTCTGGTAGAGGTGGCACAACAATATGTGGATAGTAAACCAAAAGGTAATTTCTTAACAACTCAAACTCACTATACCGCCTCCACAGTGAGTCTGTTAGGACACTCTGACCATCAGCATGTTCAACTGACCTGAAAAGGAATGAAAGATCACTTATATCTCTTATTAGAAATAAAAATACAGAGCTTAGAAGTGCTTGCCTAGCATGCATGAAGCCCTGGGTTCAATTACTCAGTACCACATAAACAGAAAAAGCTAGAAGTGGTGCAGTGACTCACGTGGTAGAGTGCTAGCCTTAAGCTAAAGAAGCTCAGGGATAGCCAGGTGCTGGTGGCTCACACCTGTAATCCTAGCTACTCACTAAGATCTGAGGATTGTGATTCAAAGCCAGTCTGTGCAGGAATATCCATGAGACTCTTATCTCCAATAAACCAACAGAAAACAGAAGTGGTGCTGTGGAGTTCAAGTGGTCGAGTGCTAGCCTTAAGCTGAAGAGCTGAGGGATGGATAGCACCCAGGCCCAGAGTTCAAGCCCCACAATGTGGGGTGGAGGGGTGTGCTCAGGGACGGTATCCAGGCCCAGAGTTCAAATCCCAGGACTAGCGAAGGAAGGAAGGAAGGAAGGATGGATGGAAGGAAGGAAGGAAGGAAGGAAGGAAGGTAGGAGAGAGAAGGAGAGAGAGAGAGAGAGAAATAGAGAAATATAAGCAGGGTGCCAGTGGCTCACAACTTTATCTTAGCTACCCAGGAGGTTGCTAAACTGGTCTAGATCTTTGGTCCTCTCAATCTCAGCCTCACAAGTTGCTAGGACTACAGGTGTCAACCACTGGTGACTGGCCTATCTAAGCATATTTCTAACAGAAAAATTCCTCCAGCTGGTGGCTCATGCCTGTAATCTTAACTACTCAGGAGGCTGAGATCTGAGGGTCAAGGTTCATAGCCAGCCTAGCCAGAAAGTCCATGAGACTTTTACCTCCAATTAATCAGCAAAAAGTGTGGCCTAAGTGGCAAAATGCCAGCCTTGAGTGAAAAAGTCAAACAAGAGTATAAGGCCGTAAGTTAAGGCTCACTATCAACGCACACAAACACACACACACACACACACACACACTTCTTGGTACATAAACATACTCCATTTACAACATCTATCAGGAAACATGTAACAGCATCTAATTGGTTTTACATGATATATAATTTAACTGTAATATGTAAGTAGATATTATCATAAGTCCTATCTTTATGGATTAGAATTAAGTAATGACATATTGCCTCCCAAGCCATGAAGGTATTTCTACCTATTCTAAAGCATACATTTTCTTATATGTCTATTTTAGAGGAGGTAATCTCATAGGAACAGGAATATACCAAAAGAAAGAAAGAAAGAGAGAGAAAGAGAGAAAGAGAGAAAGAGAGAAAGAAAGAAAGAAAGAAAGAAAGAAAGGAAGGAAGAAAGAAAGGGGAGGGAGGGAAGGAGGGCAGCCGGGCACTGGTGGCTCAGGCCTGTAATCCTAGCTACTCAGGAGGCTGAGATCTGAGGATCACAGTTCAAAGCCAGCCTGGGCAGAAAAGTCCGTGAGACTCTGATCTCCAATAAACAACTAGAAAATGGGAAGTGGCGCTGTGGCTCAAGTGGTAGAGCTCTCGCCTTGAGCTGAAGAGCACAGAGCTAGTGCCCAGGCCCAGAGTTCAAGCCCCACGACGGACAAAAAAAAAAAGAAAGAAAAGAGGGAGGGAGGGAAGGAGAGAGGGAGGAGGGAGGGGAGGGAGGGAGGGGGGAGGGAGGGTGAGGGGAGGGAGGAAAAACTCAGAGGGAACTAAAAACCAGTGGCTTTAGTCTTATTCAATCCCAGTCTACTAAAGTATATCTAGCCAGGCATAGTAATTCAAATCTGTAATCCTAGCTACTCCAGAGAGAGGAGATCAAAAGGCTCATGGTTTTCCTCCAGATCATATTTTAACCAATACAAAAAGTTGGACATGGAGGTATCCCATTTTCACAGCCATTCCGGTAGCGTGGACTAGGAGAATGGTGGTCCAGGCTTGTCCAGCATAAAACAAGACTGTATTGGAAAAATAACTAAAACAAAAAGGGCCAGGGATGTTGTTCAAGTGGTAGAGCACCTACTTAAATTTAAGCCTACTTCCCCTTACCTACCTTGTTTCAATAAGGTAAGCAGTATAGGTTTCTTGCATGTTCATGGCATTTCTTCCAGTTCGCTTTTCTGCTTCTGAAACACTGATTTCTATCTTCTTCAACCAAAAATTATTTTCTGTCATCTAAACAAAAGTAAATAAAAATTTAAAACCCTTTAAGATGGAATTATTAGTGAGGATAACAGAGGAGGGGTGAATATTATTCCTTATAGGCATATAGGAAAATTTTATAATGAAATCTACCATTTCGTACAATTAATATACACTACTTGAAAAAAATTGCATAGCTATTATAATAAAACCCAATATTGGTACAGATTTCAAGGTAGTTTTGTGTGTGTGTGTGTGTGTGTGTGTGTGTGTGTATATGTTTTTTTCTTTTGGTCAATTGTGGGGCTTGAACTCTGGGCTTGGGTGCTGTCGCTCAGCTCTTCAGCTCAAAGCACTCTACCACTTAAGCCACAGTGCCACTTCCAGTTTTCTAATGGTTTTAATAAAGAGTCTCACGGCCTTTCCTGCCCAGGCTGGCTTTGAACCGTGATCCTCAGATCTCAACCTCCTGAATAGCTAGGATTATAGACGTGAGCCACTGGCACCTGGCAGTTTTGTATATTTGACTGTTAGGGTGGCTAAATGACAGCAAATGACAATCTATCCATGCACTATAGTACATTAACTTTTTCGGATGTATTTTAACAGATACTATACATTTAATTATTAAAATTTGGACATTTTTTGGAAATGATCATGAGTAAATCTACTTAGAAATGCATCCAGGGCTGGGAATGTGGCTTAGTGATAAGAGTGATTGCCTAGCAAGCAGGAAGGCCTGGGTTTGATTCCTCAGTACCACACAAACAGAAAAAGCCAGTGTGGCACTGTGGCTAAAGTGGTAAAGTACTAGCCTTGAGCACAGAGAGGCTCAGGGACAGTGCCCAGGCCCCGAGTTCAAGCTCCAGGACTGGCAAAAAAGAAAAAAAAATGCATCTAGGAAAAAAACAAAGCACAAAAAATGAAAAACCTTGGGCTGGGGAGTACAGCTAAGTGACAGAGTGCTTTCCCAGCACAAGTGAGGCCCTGGGTTTGATTTGAACTCACTATACACAGGATTGTACAAAGACAGTGATGGAAGGCATCAGGCATCCATAATCCCCCATCCCACCCCCAGTTAGGGAATAAATGCTCTGCTGACTCTGACATCAAACTTGGGAACTGTAGAGCTGAGGAAGATCTACAACTTGGATATCAGCTCTCAGCACAGGGTAGATCCCCATCCCCAACACAAGCCCTGGATCAGGCAGCTGTGCAGTGTTCCAGGAATAGCTTATACACAGCTTACATACAGCAGCCAGTGGGCAAAAAAGGACCCCACCTTCCAAATACCAGAGATATATCTGTGTGTGTGTGTGTGTGTGTGTGTGTGTGTGTGGAAGGACCCCACCTTCCAAATACCAGAGATATATCTGTGTGTGTGTATGTGTGTGTGTGTGTGTGTGTGTGTGTGTGGAAGGACCCCACCTTCCAAATACCAGAGATATATCTGTGTGTGTGTACACACATGAGCCCACACACACACATCAGTCCTAGGGCTTGAACTCAGGGCCTGGGAGCTATCTCCTTAGCTTTTCACTCAAGGTTAGAGCTCTTCCCCTTGAGCCACACTCCACTTCCGGCCTTCTTGTTAGTTTAGTATGAGTAAGAGTTTCATGGAAGGGAAAAGGAGGGGAGGGGAGGGGCAGGGAAGGGAGAAGGGGAAAGGAGGAAGAGGGAAAGGGGTAGGGGGAAGGGGGAAAGGGGAAGAGGGAGGAGGAAAGGGGAAAGGGGAGGGGGAGGGGAGAGGGAGGGGAAGGAGAAAAGAAGAAAAGGAGAAAGGGAGAAAGGAAGGAAAATAAAGCCAAAAGGAAACTCTAAAAAATACTTGATGCAAGATCTACCGACAAGAATTTTTAAATAACTGCCTTGACTAATGATTTATACCTATAATCCCAATTACTTGGGAGGATTAGATAAAAGGATTATGGCTCCAGGCCTAACTAGGCAAAAGAATTAAGGATACCAAATAATAAACTGGGCATGGCATTGTGAAAGGAAGGCATAAGTAGGAGGATGGTGGTCTAAGGCCAGCCTATACACATACACAGAAAAGACAACAAGAGGTCTGACACAAATGATAGAGTGTTTGCCCAGAGGGTATAGGCTCCAAGGGCCAGAGTTCAAATCCTGGGGGGAGGGTATTTTTGAGCCCTCAGGGGAGACACTCAGATCAATTCTCCCTCAAATGTTTAATCCTATCTCTGCCGAAGATTAGCTGTGCAACTCTGGGTAAATTATTTTACATCTCTGGGTTTCAGTTTCCTTATCTCAAAAAAACAGAACCTGCAATTGATCCAAGTGCTGGAATAAGAACCTTCTGCAAAGTGATATTAAGAAGGGGTCTTTTAAATGGAAGGACAAAGGGTGAACAAATGCAGCAGTGGTACTAACTAGATACTTTGTTGAAAATGAATTTTACAACTTGTGGATGGTTAGGGGAAAGAAAAACTGGGAGAGGGAAAGGGTGACATTGTCTAAAAAGAAATGTTCTCATTACCTGACATAACTCTAATTCCTGTCTACGTCACCTTTATAATAACAATTTTTTTTTTAATTTTTGCCAGGCACTGGTGGCTCAGGCCTATAATCCTAGCTATTCAGGAGGCTGAGATCTGAGGATCACGGTTCAAAGCCAGCCCAGGCAGGAAAGTCCATGAGACTCTTATCCAGTTAACCACCAGAAAACTGGAAGTGGTGCCATGGCTCTAGTGGTATAGTACTCACCTTGAGCTGAAGAGCTCAGTAGACAGCACCCGGGCACAGAGAGCAAGCCCCATGACCAACAAAACAAAAACAAAAAAAAATTTTTTTAAAGAAGGGAACAGGCCCTTGGGAAGTGAGCCCTCCTCAAGTTTTATGACAATACTCAGATCCTTTCCACCTTCCAGCATGTGAGGACAGAGAAGACAACCTACAGCAGGCTGGCAAGTGGTCCTTCAACAGGCAATAAACCTGTGAGTGCCATGATGTTGGACTTCCAGACATGTCTATTGTTTGATAGAGCCCAAACTGACTAAGACTAGACCTAACTCAGGAAGTCAGGGAAAACAGTAATAAGCTTATGTATTGAAGGAGTTTCTGGCCTGGCACAATATATGCTCATCCACTGGAATGAAGCCAGTGTGACTGAGGGTCATGAGCAAGTCTACCAGGGCTTACTCACTCAAGATGTACCACCTAAAGCAGGAAAGGGAACTGCTGTTCCTAGTGCAGATAGATAGTGCTATTTTCACTTCCTTCAGGAGTATAAATACCATGACAGGCAGGACAGCTTCATGGCACATTATCTGCAAACCTCAGATTTGTGAGTATAAAACAATGTGGTCAAGCCAGGCATGGTGGCACATGCCTATAATACTAGCTACTTGGGAGATAGAAACAGGTTACGGGTCTAAGGTCTGCCAAGTCAAAAGCTAGCAAGATTTCATCTCAAAACCAGGCCAGTCAAGGTGCTACACAACTGTGTGCCCAGCTAATCAGGATGGAGAGGTAGGAAAAGACCAGTCAGGGCCAAGTCAGCAAGACTTTGTCTCAAAACCAAAATAGAAGCAAAAGGGCTGAGAAAGGCTTACTGTGGCTTGGTTCTAGAGGTTTTAAGATCGTGGTGGGCTGGCTCTACTGCTTCTATGCCTGTGGTAAGGCATCACGTGACTGGGTGTGTGGACTTGAAATTTATGTCACATGGAGAAAGGGGGCGTAGGGCCCAATACTATTTTCAAAGGCAAATTCTCAATGATAACTCCCATCAACCAAGCTCCACTTCAACTGTGCTATATGCAAGGGAGCAAGCCTTTAACCCATGATTCTTGGGAAGACATTCAAGATCCAAACTGTAACACTATGCCTATAAATATCTGTCTTCCTTTTTCACATGATTCTTACCCACAGAATATCTTCAATCTTACTTAGTTCTGGTCTGCTTCATCTAGTTCTCTGCTGCCAATTAGAGGAGGTATTATTTGTGTTCTAAAATTTTTAAATACCAGTTGCTAAAGACTGTGCTTCATGTTCCTTCTAAGACTCAGGGGCTCTCCCTTCAAAAAGTCATTTCTGTGCCAGACACTGGTGACTTACACTTGTGATCCGAGCTACTGAGGAGGCTGAGATCTGAAGATCATGGTTTGGAACCAGTCTGGGAAGGAAAATCCATGAAACTCTTATCTCCAATTAAGCACTAAAAAAGCTAGAAATGGCCGGGCGCTGATAACTCACACCTGTAATCCTCGCTACTCAGGAGGCTGAGATCTGAGGATAGTGGTTCAAAGCCAGCACAGGCAGGCAGGAAAGTCCGTAAAACTCTTATCTCCAATAAACCACCAGAAAACCGGAAGTGGCGCTGTAGCTCAAGTGGTAGAGCGCTCTTGTGCTGAAGAGCTGAGGGACAGCGCTCAGGCCCAGAGTTCAAGGCCCACGACTGACAAAAAAAAAAAAAAAAAAGGTAGCAAATAGCTCAAGTGGTTGAACACTAGCCTTGAGTAAAAAAAGTTCAGGGGAAGTGCGCAGGCCTTGAGTTCCACAGGACTGGAACAACAGCAACAAACCAAACAAACCACTTCTGAATTCCTCAGGCAATGGCTATTCTGTGGCAAACCGTGTCCCCCTGCCAGCTTCTCTTAACTGAAGGCTCAATAGAATTGTCCAGTCTAAAAAAAAAGTATTCTTTCCATCATTCCCTTGCTAGAGCCCCTTCCTTCTGCTAGTACTAATTACTAATTTCAAGAGACTGTATTACTTTCTCATTCCAAATGCTTAAATGAAACTAAGTACCTTACCAAAAATTCCTTACAAAGAAAAAATACAAAAGGAAATGATAGGAAACTTCTAATCAGACCACAACAAAGAAAAGGACCGAAGACTCACAGAAGGCAAATAATATACTGCGACAGGTTAAAGAATCCTCTTCATCATTGAGATGTGAAACCACAAAGAAATCTTGTGAGTTCTGGGCAGTACTTGTTTTAGCACCTTTTGAGAGTGTCCAAATTGTGCCCTCTCTGTCTGTCTCTGACACACACACACACCTTCAGTCA